GATACGAGATACGGCACGACATGACACGTCGACACATTAATTCTAAAGAATGCTATATTTCCACACGTTAGGACACGTTTTGATATTAAGTAATATTTTTAATATATATATTTTATAATTTTAGAATAATATTTATGCAGATATTGCAAATAAGTTATCTGCAGTTACTCCTAAAACAATGTCAATTTGGGATTAAAAAATTAAATAATTATAATTATAAAGACTATAATAACCTTGAAATAAATTAAATTACAAAAATACCATGATTTTTGCCCCAAAATGATGTCATATTACGTTTACTGCAGATAACTTATCTGCAGTAACTGCAGAAAAAGCGAACCCTTATAATTTATATTTAATACATATAACATCCCGTAATAAGTCGTATAACCAACCAAATATTCAAATTTCATAAAATAAATAGAAAGCAAAAATAATTTTGAGTACCTTGATAATTTTTCATGTCAAATGCATAACAGAAAAAATTGATTTATAAATTATTTTTTCATGTTTAGTTAATAAAATAAATTTTAGACCTAAAAAAATGAGTCAGATGCGTGTGTAGCGTTAACCGCGTGTCGTAAAAAGTTAACATGCGTGTCAGAAACAATATCGAAATGTGTCGAAGCGTTGACTGCATGTCCCAAAATATTAATCGCATGTCAGATGTGTGTCGAAATGTGTTGGAGTATTCTATATCTGACATGTGTCCGACATGCGTTTTTCAAAAAAAATTGCACGTTCTGCTTTCTAGGTTTAGGTAAGCAATGCAGCGCACAAGTTGTCAACATTAAATTAATTAATAATTAATAAATTATTATTTATATTAAATAATTATATAAATACTTTGTTACATTATTCTTCATGTTTAAAATTATAATATATTAATTAATAAAAAATGTAATTATAATTCTTTAAAACTAAATCAAAAATTATATTTGAAAAATATATGATAATTGAATAATTTTAAAAAAAAATTATTAAATGTTTATTTTTTAAATAAAATTTAATGTCAGCTAAGGAAGAAAATGAGTGAGGCAAGGTAAGGTCGTAAAGAGTTAGTTTAGGGAGAGAAAGCAGATACAAAATGCACGTTCATATACCAATCACAAAGCAGCGCATGGCATTAGCAAATGGATCTCACAATCACACGTGTTAGTGATTCTTAAACCAATCCTTACCTATGTGGTGGGCTCCATGCATCCCATAAGGCAACTTCTTGGAACAGTGATCATTTTGTCACGCTTCATTAAATTATTTATCAGACTGCCACTCAACAGTAAAAATTCCTGGAATGTCACACGGCATACTTCGCTACATTGTGTAGCGAATTATGATTGCTGATGTGGCACATTGGAGGAATAATTCGCTACACAATGTAGAATACGTGATCAAAATATCAGAGTGCACATTCAGCAACAGGACATGTGTCAAACCAGCAGTAATTCGCTACATGGTGTAACGAATTATACAAGATGATGTGACAAAGTTCTGTTAGATGAGTAATTCGCTACACAGTGTAGCGAATTACTGCTGGCTTGACACGTGTCCTGTTGCTAATTGTGCCCTCTGACATTTTGACCACGTATTTCGCTATACAGTGTAGCGAATTGTGCCGCGTGGCATTATGAAAATTTGTACTGTTGGTGCGACAATCTGATAAATAATTTGGTGAAGCGTGACAAAATGGTCACTGTTTCCAACTTCTTCGTCTCATTTTTATTTATTTATTTATTATTATTTAGTGTTGATGTATTATGTGTATTTCGAAATCTAAATCGTGCCGAGTGCATCTCATTCCCCTTTTAATTATAGGGTTTGCATATATCATTTCACTTGACACAAAAAAGTTTCATACACACACAATATTTTATGGGCCCACACTTTTTGAAGCAAAAAAAAAAAAAAACTACGGCACGCAAAACAAATCTCTATAACATTACACAATCTCTTTTCCTACAACATAACTATTATATTATACGGATAGAATTGAATGTCACTCTCATTCAATCCCTTCCTTCAGAACAGCCATACAAAATGCAAATCTATCTTTGAATTATTCGGATTAATATTTCTTATATTATAAGAAATGATATTATTTCTTATATATATATATATATATATATATATGAAAGGTTTATATTTTTTTTCTCTTCATATAATTTTACGTGGGTCCTACACACATTAAAATATATGTAGGAGATAAAATTATTTCCTATAATATTATTCATACACTGAATCTCTATCAAAAAATAAATAATGATGATTATAAGACGAATTTTTTTTTTCTTGTTACATGAAAGATAAATTCTTTCATGCACAATAGTACAATGTGAGTCCCATTAAATAAAAGAACAAATGAGACTCATATTGTGCTTTGAATATGTAAAATGATTTTTTTTATTTTTTTATAAGAAATGGAATAAATAGATAAAATAATGTAATCTGGAGACGTGATTGGATGAACTATTTCAAAAAGAGAATCTGAGTTAGTTTAAGGAGAGCTCCAGAACGCAAAATGCACATTTTTGGACAAATTGCAAAACGGCACATGGCATTAGGAAGTGGATCTCACAACGCCACGTGTTATGATTCTTCAACCAATATTTACGAGAAAGATCACTATTAATTAAGTGTCACCGATCAATTAATTGAATAATCATTTTAAAAGATATAAGTTAATATTATTTTAGATCTTAATCGTTGATTTTCGTTCATTATTGGTTATAATTTATTGGATCAAAATTATTAATTAATTAATAATAAATTTGACCTATTAAATTTGATCTAATAGATTATAATCGTTAATGGACGAAAATCAACGATTAGAATCTAAAATAATACAAGCTTCTATCCTAAATGACAGATATTTTTTCCATTAGATAATTACCGAGAAAAAAAAGGAGATACGAAAAATGAATTTTTTTTTATTCAAATATTATCATATAAATGAAAGAACTATGTGAGCCTGGAGCATCAATTTTTTCCCCAATCTTTACCTAACCGGTGGGCCTCAATGCAACTCTCACGAGGCAACTTCTCTCGCTCTTTTTATTTTAATTTGGTGCATATGTATATTTATTTTACGCACATTCTAAATGTAAATTATATTGATGGTGACCGACAAGTGGAACGGTGTTGTACTTGTACCTACTGCACTTCATTCCCTTTTACCATTTGGAATTGAATACAACTCTCGGCCGCTTGCCTCCTTCAGCTCTGCCCTACAAAATACAAATCAACCTTGTTGAACTCTTTGAAACACTGCACCTATGTCAGTAAAGTAACCCCTAATAAAAATTATTTTTAAATAATAAAGTAGGTGTACTGAAATCGTAATCCTGTTTTAAAAACCCGCCAGCCCCTAAATTATTTGCACAATATTTATAATTTAAAACTCAGATTTGATAAACGTGTTAGAACAGATCATAATACAAAGAAAGAGAATGATGTTGTCCTCGAATTAACACAATTCATATTTTTTATATTAATAAGTAAGCAAATAATTATGACAGATACCTTTTTTTTATAAAGTTGTTCGATAAAATCGTTTTTTAATTTTAGTTGTTCATAAATAAAAGTATACTTAAATTTTGTTAAATCTAACTGTATTTAATTTGATTCTATTCTAATGAATAAAATTAATGATTTTGTCCTAATTTATTTAATGTATTTGAAAGTGGATTTATAAGTTAAATTAAATTTTTCCAAATTAAAAAAATTGAATTTCTTCCATAGTGAATTTAAATTATGAAAATGAAACATTCCAAACATATCGTACAAGAAAAAGATAAAAAAGTTAAGTGAAAATATATATTAGCAAAATGAGTTGGTCACACTATCTTTAAACAGAAGGTGACGTGAGAGACAATCTATAATAATAAAAAAGACCATATATAACAATGAAAACAAGGCAAGTGGAGAATAGAGATAGCTATTTAGAGGTGTTCAGTAGAAGATAAATTTCTTTTATTCGAAAATCTCGATTTTCAAAAATATGATAAAAACATTCAGTTTATAATAATATTTAAAAATTAAAAAAAATTCAGTTTCTCGATAATTCTACAAGATAACTTCTACCAAACGCCGCTTGCGATGAGTTTAGATGGATTTATTGAAAACGAAAAAGCAGAAACATCAGTGTGGGAATGGGAAATAAAACGCGGGTTTTGAGGTGCACTCCAAAGCACAAAACGCGCAAATAAACAAACACGTGGGATCAAACAACTTCTTAGAACGCGCATAACTTTTACTTTTTTGAAAAAGAAATATTATATAATTATGTATAAGTATTATTATTCGTTATAATATAGGCTTAGTTTTATAACGTATCATTGGCACTGAGTCGGTCATTCTTTGTTTTCATTTATTAAGTATTTATGTCATAAAAATAAGAAGAGTATTGGTTGGGTTGGGTTGGTACATGTGATTTGCGGTGTAGGTGTTTGAATTTTATAAGCAACCGATAGCGATTATTCATTTCATGGACGTGTCACGGGCGAAGACTGGGTATTGAGGGTGGGTGTGGTGTGGGGTTCACTTGCATGCATCCATTGTTTTTTCCCGTACACATTCACGTGATATCAATGAGTCATGCCATGACCGCTACGCTCTTGGATACAAAACAACATTACCTTTTATAAAAAAAAAAAATTACGGTGCCAAAATCTTAGTGATTGGATTCTTTGAAAAACCAAACCAAAAATGGGGTGCTTGTAGCATATAGGTTATAGAAAAACGTCTAGCTTGCACAACCAAACTTGGTTGACACAATCAAATCACTTGCATTACAAGGTTTTGCAGTTTTTTATTTTTATTTTTTATATTGATATGTTACATATGCATGTAGGTTAATCCTCTGAGTTCCCTTAGCGGGAATGCTCCAATCTTACCATAAGGATAAATTCAGGTAACTCTCTTGCTTGCAATAAATACTCAATGATGAAAGCAAGCGGACTCTGCATTCGTGTAATCTAGAATACTTATATGTAAGCATCTGAAAATTTTCCGTATATACAACTCCACTTAGGAAAAGCTATAAAATGGAGTAGGGAAGTGAAATTACAAAAGGGAAAAAAAGAAAAAATATGACTTAGTTGCTCCAACCCCCAGAAAAAAAAAAGAAGAACTAATAAAGACATAAATTGAGGCCCGAGTGCATGGAATTGGTGAAGCTGACACCTCAAAAATCATAATCTATATCTGTTACATTCTGGGAGGCAGAATGCTTAACCAGCTGTCCTTGCTCATTGTACCGATCAAGGTTCTCACAGGGAGCAGGAAATATGGTCCCTATTACACGTCCTTCAACAAAGGCACACTGAAAGATATGCTTCTTCTTGTATGTTAGCCCAACTGACATATCCTTAAAAGTCACATTTCTCACGGGAATCTCTTCACTACCATGAATACGTACTGGCACACGAACTCCCTGTCCATGAACAGTGGTGAAGCTTATATCTTTGAGTATTGGAAGTGCCGTACGGTCATATCCATCATCAGGGTGTTCATTGTAATCTGTCTTCATAACAATTCCAACACGGACATTCTCAAATGTTAGATTCCGATAAGTTATTTGGCGCACATATCCACCTCGTCCGGGGGCAGTCTTAATCCTCACAGCACGCCTTGAATCCCATACAAGAAGATTCTCCACCGTCACGTTGGATACCCCACCAGACATCTCACTTCCTATTGAGACGCCAGCACTGTTCCATTTCATTAAATCATTAAGATATGAGGAAAGACCCCACTACATGATGAGACACTAACAAATATGCAGTCATCAAGTTACGCAAAGAAAAGATAACTAGGAATAATATTATCCAATTATATATGGGACATCATTTGGAGAAGCCACCATCAATCAGTCAAAGCCCTTGATTTACCTGGAGCCTATGAACAAGCTCAAGGCAAGGCATTAACACATCACGCATGGTTTCATGCCGGTGGTAGAATAACCAAATCTTAAAACTTATAAACAAATCATGTATTTCAAACATTAATATGCTGACCTCCTGCTAATACGTGGAATTGCTTAAATTAGAGATCTGTTTGAAATTCATGTGATGGACAGAACAAGATGAGACATGAAACCTGTGTTTCCAAGTTATTCATAACATTTTGCAGACTCAAGAAAAGCTAATTTCGATATTAACACAGACCAACAGCTACACGTGGCATGATCAGAGGCATTCAAGAAGATTAATTTATTTACATTTAGGTCCTTAGGTTTACGTAGACTTACACTTAAAACGCAGTTACTTACTCTCCAATAATAAGATGAGGAAAGGCATGCAGAAAAGTACAGATTGGTTGAGTTAGGGATTCACCTGACCATAGAGCGAACAACAATGTTTCGGATCATTATATTCATGGAAGGCCTTGCATAAGCAATTCCATACTGATCCCAACCACTTTTTATTGCAATTGCATCATCTCCCACACTTATGTAGCAGTCCTCTATCAACATATCCTCACAAGAATCTGTCATACCATAGAAACTCAGACATATTAAAAAATTTCATACGACAACAAAACTAATATAGATGAATGTTCCAGTAAAAGTAACCCAACTGCCTATCTCTCAGGTTGGTAATTGAAACACAAGCCAAATAAAGCATAACAGAAGCCAGATTGAATTGAGTGCATCTTGTTTGCGCACAAGCAAACAATCACATTTCGCACATATTAAGGAAAACATGTGTCAAAATTTCAAAATTAATCATCCCATGAATTGAAGACACATTTCCCAAAAATTTTGATACCTTACACAAGCTTATTAAATCATACCCACTGACTCAGTTGGCATTGATATTTATATAGAGAAATGGTTCAGGTGGCCAGAAAATTCAAATTATTTACAGGATTGAGCTTCCACACAGTCAGTTCACCATACATAATAACAATCCCTCACTTTCCGACTTACTTTACATGTAGCCTCTTCAAGTTGGTTTCTTTGCCAACCATGAAGATGAAGCTATCCTTACCCCATCATTAAAAACTCAGCAAATCATAGCTCATACATTAAGATATGAAATAATGTTTTGTACTAAGTAGAAAATACTTGCCAGGATCTATTCCATCAGTATTTGGAGCTTCGAATACAGGAGCCAATATTGTGACATTTTTTATTGTAATGTTTTTGCAGTCATATGGATGAAGTGTCCAAAAAGGAGAGTCACGCAAAGTAATATTAGAGATCACAATGTCACTAGACCACATGATCTGAACAAGTGGTCCCCTTGTGTGGTTGAGACGCTTCTGACGATATTTTTTCCACCATGTTTGTCCCTGTCCATTTATGGTACCGTTATGCCCTGTCAGTTATGACAATAGATGGAATCAGAGAAATTTCGAAATTAAGATTAAGCATCACGCTTCACACAAAGAAGGCAGGGAATGCTGTGCTAGCCTATCTTGTTTATTCTGATAACGATTTCCTCCTGATAAGTGCACTGTTTTCATCCTAGTCATGGATTTCTCCTTACAAGTGCACTGTCCTACCTTTCAGGGTGATTGCTTAATCAAGCAGTAACATTCACGAGGATTTATGTGACTAAAGAAAGACTTATGTTAAGCCTATTCCCTTTAATGAGGTGAACGAGGTAGCATATGGGGCAGTTCACCAAACTAAAATACACCAAGGAAGTGTTTGTAAAATACTAAAGCAACTGATTTCTCCACAAATACTGAACCAGTTGATTCAAATCAATACAAACACTTGAAAATTTAACTTAACAAAATATTAGTCAACAAGGAACTACTCAAATTAATTGATGTTAGCCTTTAGCTTAAGCCTTTGAAATGAAGGTATCTGAACTAAAAAGAAAAATTGGAAAATATTATTTTCTTGTTGAAACTCGAAAATGAAGATATCAAGAGAAAATCTGTTGATTTTCCTTCTTTTTCCTCAAAATACAACAATTAGATTGTTTTGCAAGATTAAGATCTGAATTTGAATGTGCTTACAATGACATTCAATACTAAGTAAAGACCTTAGTCACGAAGAATGACAACTTTTCTACTCTTTTACACATTGGAAGCAGGATGAAACATCCTCACCTGTTATCACAACATCTTTAAGATTTTGACCATGAATCAAACTGCCATATCTAGGACCAGGGTGTTCCCTCCCATACCCATATGAAGGCAATGGAGGCATCAGTGGCCAATACTTTTCATCCTGTGAACCATCACATAACATGACAAATATAATGTAAGTAAAATGTTTAATTTTGAGAGTGGAAGAGATGTGTAGTGTAAGCAATAGATTTATCAAAGAGAAAGACAGAATTACAGATCTAAATTACTACAAACAAAGAGATCAAAGATAAGATTTAGCAGAATGCATAATCTAGTGGTAACTAACTTGAGTCATACACATTACCCAAATTCTCCCACACAACACCAAATGCATGATGTAGACTCAGCTGTACATATATTCATAATTTCTGGCATGGTACTCATATTGCCAACTGTAGATATGACAGCAATATGGCTGGTATCAAGAAATTCAGCAAGCCAGGAAATTTTTGGATAACATGTTTGTTATGATCTAGGTACAATAACTTCTGTCATAAAGATATATGAAGTCAAATTCTACTCTTTAAAGCTTAATTTGAAGTTGTTTATGTTGTACACCGCATAAGGTCTGAACAGCAGCCCTACCCAGCTAAAATAGTGGTATTCATAAAATCAATTTGATCACTGAGAACACAGTCCTTGGCGCTCTTCATTAATCACAAATCGTATTGGTTTCATTTGCCATAAAATTAGATACACAGATCCTTAGTAGCAGTTAAAAGAATTATTTTGATTCTTCATGCTCCACATTTGATTATAGCTCTTGCATTAAACTGAAATATATGCCCCCAAACCATCAATAATGAAGTCAACTTTTAAAAAAAAAAAAAACACTCTGGCAAACAACTGCAGTCAAAACAGCCAGACTACAATCAACGAGCCTAAGAGAAATGCTTTAAATGATACAGCAGTTCTACTCTCAGATTCTTTTCTCTATTTTGTTACCTTTGCCAAATTGAACAAGTTAGTGCACTATGTCTACAACTCTGAACTTGAGATATCCAACTCAGAAAGATACATATGGTATACTAAGACAAATTGTGAAAGAGACAACTCCTGTAAAGAACCACTTCAACCTAAAACCTTAAGGTGTTGGATGAGGGCCTTTTTAATGGTTTCTATTATTCTCTAACACACCCCCTCACGTAAGAGCTCTTTGGACTTGAAACGTGGATATTGCATAGACCCAATTTTTTTTGGTTTTTACCTTATACTTATTTAATTCCACAAGTGGAGGCGGTGAGGATCGAACTCGTGACCTTATGGTCACTGAAGCTCTGAAACCATGTAAAGAACCACTTCAACCCAAAACTTTAAGGTGTTGGATGATGGCCTTTTTAATGGTTTCTATTATTCTCTAACAACTCCAAAGTCCAAACCAACTACTGGATGCATGCTTCAACATATCACAACAGTAACAATTGCAACAGGCAAAGACATTTTATTAGTTACTACAGTTGGTTTGCTCCGTTTTAGTTTCTGAAATTAGCCAAAAGCATGTAGCCAAGCATAGTACTTATTTTCTTTGACATGAAGAACAGACAATAACAGTTCACAAAGAAAACCAATGTAACTATTTAAATGTGAGAACTAATTCCACAAGCAAGCAAATGTAAGGAAGTGATATAATTTCCAAAACTGAAACAGAATTCTTTATTAGTGTATTTTTAGAAAGGCGAATCAACCATTCTAAAATCTAAAATGTTTACTACTTGCCATGTACCGGTCTATCAGATGCATTTTCAAGCTTATCATGATGCACCTAATCAGTATGAACATAGAATATGGATTTGGCTTTGTGGCTATCATCTTGTTTCATAATCCCATGCACCTTTACAAAATTTCATATAGGTATGACAAAGACAGAAACCAGGATGTAGTGCCATCAATAGAAGAAAAATATATCCAATATCACAGTTTCCAAATAAAGGCAAAAGACACACGGACTAAAATAATAACGCTCAAGCCTTCTAACACAACTCAAATTATCATCTAATATTAAGAAATCTTCAGTTCTGAAATTACAATTATTATTCTACCAGATGCGAGCATCACATGTTGTAAAAGGAAGATTTACTGTTTTTCCACTGACCTATTAAATTACAAGGCAAGAATGACCACAGCCTTTATGATTGTTATTTAGAAAAATAACAATAACAACAAATGCACACACACATAACACAAATTTAGGACTGAAGAAAAAAAAAAAACTCACATCAATGCCAAGTATAACAGCATCTTGAGCTAGAAATAGAGTCATATGGCTGGTAAGATTGAAGGGTGCGGTAAGCCAACGACCGGGAGGGACATTCAGCTGGGCCCCACCTTTCTTCCCAAATTTGGAGATAGCAGAAACAGCCCTCTCAAAGGCCTCAGTGTTGAGAGTAACCCCATCACCGACCCCTCCGAAATCCGTCAAATTGAAAGCCACCGGACGCAGCTTCGGCATCGGCCTCGCCGGAACCCGACCGAACACGAAGAAGCCACCCACTATGTTCCTCTGCCACAGGAAAACCGATGCGAATGCGGCGATCCACAAAACCGTAAAGAGGGTCTTGTGCGAGGTCAAGAATGCCGGTATCCAGCGCTTAAAGTCGAGCCTTTGGTGGTGGAACCGCCCAAGTGTTGAGGTCTCCACCATCATTCGACCCCCCGAAGAAGAAACTACCCTTTTGCAAAATGGACTTTGATTTGGCAGCTCGCGATGTGGGTCACTGGAAACTCATGGATTCCTTTCGTGGGTATTGGGTTTCTTTGAGAAAGGAGGAAACTTTGGAATGGTGTGATGTGCGTGAGTAGTTGTAACAGTGAAGGGAAGGATCCGTTTGGGGAATAAATTGATGGAGTGAATTGAAAGGGAAGCTGTGAGAGATGATGAGGAGAACTGGAACTGGAAGTTGGTGGTTCCAGAGACAATGATGGGGTAACAGTGGGTCCGAATGCAAAACCATGGATCCTTAAACGGGTACCACTTGGAATTTGACAATTTCATAGGCCAACTTTTACAATAGCTGTGTTAGTTTCGTGAGCCAAATGGTAAATCCTGGTTTCAAAATATTTTAAATTTTCAAAATCTAACTTTACAAGAGAATGAATTTTGATTAAGCTGTATTTTTGTTAGATTGGGTGCATAAATACTGTTAGAGCCTGTTGGTATTGAGATTATTTTAGAAATTTTGGGAAAGTGGGGTGGGGCAAATTTTTTTTAACATTTGGTACGAAAAAATTGAAAATATTTTTTTTTTTGTATTATTTCAGTTTTAATTACAGAATTTCAATTAAAAATATTATCTGATACATGATAATTTTATTTTCTTATAACATCAGTATAATTAATTCAATATTTTTAGAAAAATTTTGAACCTACAAAATATTCTTTTGTAATTTGTCTAAGTAATTTTTTTTCACCATATTCTCGATAATCGATAGGGTAAACTTATTAAAGTAGTTTAAAAGATGAGGATGAAATGATAAATGAGATATTCTTAATTCATTTTTTTTCTTTTTGTGTGTGGATATTCTTAGTTTAAACTTTAAACTGCTTTTTTATAAAGTAGTTTAAAAAAGAAGAATATATTCTTAGTTCTTACTCTTGTCATTCAAAAGAATTTAGTTTTTATTTCTTCGAATTGAGAGGACAAGGAAGTAATGACATGCATTTGTTTTCTTCTTTTTTTGTTAAATTCATTAAACAACAAAATAATAGCCTAACATCTTCTAGTTCAGTCATATTCTTACCTTTTTATTTTATTTCATTACGAATCACTTCTTTTGATTATCTTTAAAAACTCTCAACAGATATTGTTAAACACTTAAACGATGAACACACTCAAAATATAGGATATGAAACCGAAGGTATAGGTGAAATTGATAAATTTGAAATATTAAAATTTATTAACTCCAATTGTTCTTTGCTGAAATTCATCCAATTTTCTTCAAATTATAGGTACCAAATTTATGTATGTCGTTATATGGATCATTATTATTTCATTTTGAGAGTCAAAAGAAGCTGAAAGTGAGGTTTAGCATTTACTCCTTGATATTACGATTTCTTTATTTATTTATTTTTGGATCATATTTATGTAAGGATGTTGATTACCCGTTATTAAATAGATGTTAGACAAAAAGATTCTCAGTATTTTATTATCTGTAAGAGATCAGTTGACAACAACAATCGTGCTAACCTCTAGCTTTACAAATTAAATTTGTCATCTTACATTTTAGAAATAATATATATCTGATTTAATTGGTTGTCTGTGACAGAGGGCTTTTTTTTTTTTTTTTTTTTTTTTTTTAAGTTAAAGTGATTGGTAGTAGAGTTAGACTGCACAGCCTATTTAATGTTAGTGTATAAAATAATGAAATGAATTTTAATTTACCTTGAATTAATGGATAATTGTTTCATCAATGATCAAACGTTGATTGCTACATCTTAAAAGAACATGTGTTGCTTCGGTGGCGAATCTAAGATTTTTAATTGTTTAATAGTTATCACAAATAATCATCTTACAACACAATTTAATAAAGGGTAGAGTGTTTCTTCAATAATCTTAAAATCAAATTATTTCGGGTTTAGGAAAGAAAATATAAAATATTTTAAAATTTTCATGTTTCTCTTGTAAAACGCCAATCCCTTTATTAAAATAAATATAAACATTAAATCAAATGTCCTTATTGCTGCACTATGAAGTATCATCTCTCAGCATATGGAGTGGGTGAACTGATGGGAGGTTACTATCGGTCCACACATACAATTAGCCTCTTAAAACTCAGGATTATCTTATACTCAACTAACACCCTTGTATTGATCCAATGTTCGTAAACCGGTCAAGAACAGCATTTGTATATCAACATCATATCAATAAATTTCTAAACCGTCGATCACGACACAAATATCAGTTCCTCAACATCACTATTATGCTAACGGCAAACAACAATCCCCAAAAACATTTTCAGTATATATTTAACGGGAAAATATTTTCTTATGTTAAAGAAGATAAATTCTATCTCCTACACTAGTAAAAATGTGGGTCCTATGAGCTTTTTTATTTTATTTTATTTTTTACAAATAGTGGATCCCACAGGTTTGTCTCTATAACATTGGAAAATTTATCTCCTTTAACACGAGATTAATAACACTACTTGTATTTAATTACAGCTTATAAAATTCTTATAAAATATCCTTAACAGTTAGCACTTTTTTTTTTCTGAAAGTTTCCTTAACACTTTTTCTTCCCCAGAAAAAGGATAGAATTTCCTTAACCATAACTAGAATTTGCAAAGCCAATCCACTGCTCTGGGCTGAATTATAATATTCTGGCCCAAATTAGGAACTCAGCTCCCGTATCCAAAGATATTTCCTCTTACTATTGGGTCCAGGGTAGCCCTATCATTGGAGTGAGGCCTAAACAATATCTATTAGAGAGCCCAAGAACGATAAAGGGATCCACCCCTTGATTAGAAATAAAAAAGAAAAGAAAAAAGAAATACAAAATTTAGAAGTAAATGTAAACTTGTACAAATACATAATGATGTTTCACAAATGATATTCATCACTAACTTCAAACGGGTATTCTGTTTTGCAAATTGGAGAGTGGAATTTGTACCCAAGATTTCCGACAAACGAAAGCTGTAAAAGTAATTATCATTTATTTTTTCCCATGGAAAATACTATAGATTCTAATCAAGGATGTTTCAGGCACGGTATGGATTTCCTTTTGATCAGTCAAACGTAAATGAAGTCAGAGGTTGCATTGCATCAGTCAAACCAATTAGACAAAATCCAAATAAAAACTTTGAAACAGCAACATATTTAATTTATGTTGTTAAGAGGATATATTAAAGGGTTTTATGAGAATAATGTAACATGATATAAGAAAATTTTCCTCCTCTCACAGTAAATAAGAAAGAGAAAGTGGAATGATGAAAGAGAAAAAAAAACATGTGGACTCTACCTTTTAATTATATATGTAATAAAGTTTTCTTAAATTAGGTAACATGATACTAATAAAACAATATATTAAATAGAAATGTTGGGGACGGTTGAAAGATGTGACAGATAATATGAGATAAGCGAGTGTTGACCACCCCATGCCAAATTTGCATCGATGGTAAATGGAGGTGACCGGGTCAACACAAGTTCTGAGTTCCCAAAACATCGGAAGCATTTGAGGGAGCCACCTCTATTCTTAGAATCTGATTGTAATTCTGGAAGCTCCATCACCAATCCCAATCTCAAACAATGACAAATTTCCCCACATCCAACAAAAGCCTAACTCAGAGAACCTCAATCTCTCCGAACAGCGGCCTAGGATTTCCGGCTCTGCAATGGCCGCTGTTCGCTTCCTTCTCTTACCTCTCTCCCTCCTCCTCGCTCTCTCTCTCTCTCCTCTTTCCCTCTCCGTTTCAGAAAACGAAGCCCTCCTCAAGCTCAAACAATCATTCACAGATTCACAGTCTCTATCATCTTGGGTTCCGAATCAGAACCCTTGTTCTTCTAGGTGGGTTGGAGTCATCTGTTTCAACAACGTTATCACAAGCCTTCACCTCGCCGACTTGGGTCTCTCTGGCAACATTGATATCGAAGCTCTCATGGAGATTCGAACCTTGAGAACTATCAGCTTCGTTAATAACTCCTTCTCTGGTCCAATGCCAGAATTCAACAAACTCGGTGCTCTCAAGGCTATTTATTTATCAACGAATCAATTTTCAGGTCCTATTCCTCCAGATTTCTTCTCCCATTTAGCCTCATTGAAGAAACTATGGATCTCCGGCAACAAATTCTCCGGTGAAATACCCGTTTCCTTAACGAAACTTCGGTTCCTGAGCGAATTGCACCTCGAGGGAAACGAGTTTTCAGGGCCTGTACCAGAACTGACACAAGATATTAAATCACTGGGCATGTCGAACAACAAGTTACAAGGAGAAATACCAAGTAGCATGTCGAGATTCGGTGCCAACTCATTCTCCGGCAATGAAGGACTTTGCGGGAAGCCTCTGGATAAGGAGTGTGATGGATCTTTGCAGTTGCCGCCAACCGGTGGTGGTGGTGGTGATGGACAACAAGGATCAAGTTGGTTCGCGCAGGTTGTTATGGTCCTTGTTCTTGCGGCTATTGTGGGTGCGTTATTCATGTTCCTAAAGTCAAGGCGTGATGCACGTGACGATGACTTCAGCGTCGCGAGCAGAGACACTAACGTGGATCAGGTGGTGGAAGTGCACGTGCCGAGCTCCAAACATAGCAGCAGGGCAGCTTCGGAAACAAGCAGAAAGGAATCGAAAAAAGCATCGTCGAGGAGCGGCATGGGTGACCTTCTAATGGTGAATGACGAAAAGGGTGTGTTTGGTTTGCCAGATTTAATGAAGGCTGCTGCTGAGGTTTTGGGAAATGGTGGGTTGGGTTCTGCTTACAAAGCCGCCATGGCCAATGGCTTATCTGTTGTCGTCAAACGTATGCGAGAAATGAATAATGTAAGCAGAGACATATTTGATGCTGAGATGAGACGCTTTGGAAGACTCAGAAACCGCAACATTATCACCCCTCTGGCTTATCATTACCGCAGGGAGGAGAAGTTATTTATCACAGAATACATGCCCAAAGGAAGCTTGTTATATGTTTTGCATGGTATCATATTACATTATCACTTTTCTTTCTTTCTTTCTTATTATGTTCTATTCTAATTAATATATATATAACACATTAAGGGATATGATATGATGTGGCACATAATATAATATAATTAATTTTTTTTCAGGTGACAGAGGAACAAGTCATGCTGAATTGAATTGGCCTACCCGATTGAAGATTGTGAAGGGAATTGCAAGAGGGTTGGGGTTTCTTTATTCTGAATTTTCATCCGAAGAACTGCCACATGGGAACCTTAAATCGAGCAATGTTCTACTAACTGATAATTATGAGCCTCTCCTTAGCGACTTTGCCTTTCATCAACTCATCAACCCCAACTATGCCATACAAACCATGTTTGCCTATAAAACTCCTGATTTTACAGCATACCAACAAGTTTCGCAGAAGACTGATGTTTATTGCCTTGGAATTATCATTCTTGAAATCATTACAGGGAAATTTCCTTCTCAGTATCACAGTAATGGCAAGGGTGGGACTGATGTAGTGCAATGGGTATTCCAAGCAATTTCAGAGAGAAGAGAGGCAGAATTGATTGATCCAGAGTTGACAAGCAATAGCAATGGAAATTCAGTGAATCAAATGCTGCAACTTCTCCAAATTGGGGCTGCTTGCACGGAGGGCAACCCTGAACAACGACTTAACATGAAGGAAGCCATTAGGAGGATAGAGGAGGTACAGGTTTAAACATTATGTCAATATGCTAGCTTAGTAAGTACAACTTGCTTTTGTAGGTGAGAATCGCAGGCCTAGGAAATATTACATTCATTCAGAATCTTGGTGCAACAACACACACAAGGCAAATGAGAAATTATACAGAGGGAGGAGGTAGAGAGGGAGAAAATTCGAGTTGCTCTATGGATCAGTTCGGTTAATTAATAAGAATGGTGACATTTTATTTCCGAGACTTGATCTCATCTTATGAAACAGAATCTACATATTGGAAGATGCTGAAGCTTGGAGTCTTTCGATCATGTTTCTGTCCTTCTCAGGAGAGAAAAATGTCAAAGAGTCCAAGCTGAGTTGAATAGTGTGCCTCTTTCTGCTGATAGCAGCCCTTGTAAATTACGTGCAATTCTTATATAATGGAACCATTTTTGAGACAATATCCCTCTAATTTTACTAAGGAAAAGCTTGTACCCCAAGGACTTTCCAGTTTTCCTCTTTTGCCTTATCAAATCCAAGGGATTGCCTTTGTTTCCTCCCTCTTTCCTTTTTTTTTTTTTGAAGGTAGCCATTGCAAGTTGCTCTGCCGTTCAATGCTTTTTTATTTAATTTATTTTTGGCATTCTAGGTAGAAAAAAGTTATACTTACAACCTTTTTTCTTTACGACCTCTTACGACCATATCTTAACACCGTCGATTTTCGTCAATCAACGGTTATCATTTATTCTGAATTAATAATTAATTAATGAGTTTAATTTGTAAAAATCATAACCGTTGATTGACGGAAATCAACGATATTAAGATGTGGTTGTAAAAGATTGTAAAAAAAAAAGCTGTAAATATAACCTTCATCTTCTAAGATATTAATTAAAAAATATGTATACATCACCGCTAAAGTTGTAAAAATATGATTCACTTAAATAGTTAAATGTATTCACTTATCTATTTCTAAAGTTGTAAAAATATGATTCCCACTGTTTATTACACAAGTACAAGTATGAATCATTGGATCAACCCTTACCCTTCCCACTATTTATTACACAAGAACGAGTATGAATCACTGTTTTTGATATAGAATATAATTATTCTTTTGTAATTACTTTTATTAGCCTCTGTTTAGCTTCTGTTTATTAAGTTAGCAGTTAGTTAGAATAAATATAAGGTGGTTAGTTTGTTAGTTACAAGCACGTGGGTCAGTCACCTGGGTCTGTTTTGCTTTTTCCCTTTAGTCTCTTTTGGTTCTTGTTTAGTTACTGACTAGTTTAGTATATATAGTTGAGCTATGTAAGTGTACGAATACTGTTCATCTTTGTTCAGCTTTTCATAATGAAAGTACTGCACATTCCTTCATATCACAAGAGTTTTCAAGAAGTTGATTGCGTGCTTGTTCTCAAACAACCACCGAGTTCTCTACATATAATTTCTTCTAGGCCCTTTTCCCATAATAATAATAATACGTTTTGTTAGTTATCTCTGCGCATATCTCCAAAGCAGTATCAAAGTATGATTGCTTATTTTTATTATTCCATAGCCGAAAAATACAATCTTAAACTTGCAATAATTAGTTGCAAGGCATAAGGTAGCGTTCGGTAGATGAATTTTTTTTTTTACCAGGAAAACGTAATAACTGAAAATATTGTATGAAAATAAGTTTGATGGAAAAGATTAAAAAAAGTTGTTTGGTAGAATGAAATTTTATCAGAAAAATTGATTTAAGTTTTCAAAGTCTATGTTTGATAAAAAATAAAATATTAATGGAATAATTGATATAAATTACGAAAAGAGGTCATTTTAAATTTTGAAACTGAAAAATAAAATAAAATCAACAACGTTCATTTTCTTGTTTCCATGTTTGAAAATTTCTCTGCCCTAAACACTTTCATGGCTTGAGGAGGAGGAGCTGCAACTCGTCTCTTTTCCCACCACTGACCTTGAGTTGTGACTCGCCATGTTCATTTGCAGACTAGTTTCTTCAAAATTTATCTTATTTTGCTGTTTTAATCTAAAGGAAATAATGATCAAAGTAGAGAAAGAGAGATAGATGCATATTAGCTTTCATTGCAGACGATGATGTGTGATTCCTGCTGCAAATTAGCTTTCTTTGCCGACGTACGAGTAGAAAGGTAACCAGAGGGTCATTTTGGACAAAAATATTTGCGCTCTCTTTTTCTTTCCCAGCACCAATTACCACCTACAATGTGATTTTTTAGCAGAGTGTTTTCATTGCAATTTTTCACACAAATTACATTGCCTGAGTAATCAATTTTCCTAACATAATTTTTTTGAGTCCTCTACCAAATATTGTCATCTTCAAATCTCAATTTAATTTTCCTATTTAGGACAAAGACCTCTACCAAACAGTCCCTAAAGAAAAAAAGAAGAAGGAAATGTAGGAATAGTGGGACGGGACTTGAGTAATTTGCAATTTTGCATAAAATCGTAAGTTGAAATTTAAACTTGAGTGTCACCAATCACCATTATATATATAAAAAACAAAAGAAAAATATAAGTTACATATTAAGATATTCTTTTTTTTCAGTACAATATTAAGATATTCTTTAAACTCGTGGGAAGAGCAACTGAGAGCATGAAGGGAGGAATGCTTTTATACTGAATACAACGTAACCATAATAGAGCAGGTAAAAAATTCAATGTATCTGTATATCCTATTAATAAAAATATTACATTTCAGTCAAAATTCTTTTTTCTCTGTCAAATTCTTTCTCTCTGTTCTGATGTGTAATGCTTTCCGTGTGGGAGAAAGCTTTTCTATACTGATTCTGATTTGGCACATGGCACAACGTTAAAAAATGGAGTCATTGGTGGCAGATGGTGTGACACGTGTCACACAATATAGCTCTGCTACGTGGAACTCAAAGCGATTTGTCCTTCTTCCAAATATAAAAATATAAAATAATATTACTAAGCTCCTCTGCTTCTAAGTTTTCCCCAATTCTGTGACGGCGGCCGCGGAATGTATCGAACGGTGGCGAAGCGGTTGTTTAGCGGTGCAAGGTACTATAATGGCAGTGTTGGGCTCCGATTCCGGCCTCCTCAGGCGTTGATAGCCTCTTCTCGCTTTTCCACATCCGAGAGTCAGCCATTTTCACACAGTGCCGATCATCGCATTCCAGTGACCACCGCCGAAAGCCCTAACTTTTCAGATGCGGCTTCTTCTTCTTCTTCATCATCATCATCGACGGATGAGGATGCCCCACGCTATGAGGACCCGAGACCCGGAGCCAAATTCCAGGACGAACAAGCTCGCATGCTTCAGGCCTCGCTCCCTCACGTCGTTCGTAACTGATTTCTCTTACTCTTCTTTTCAAATTTTTTCTTCACTTTTCTATATGTCTATAATTCAATTGCCCAAAATTACAATCCAAATGGTTGCGTTTTTTTTTTTTTTTTCTTCTTCTTCTTATTGCATATCTAATTTCTATGGTTTGCGTTGTAATAATGGGTGAGTTTGAAATTGTGGTTTTTCAGATGAAGTTAGGATGGACAGAAGCAGCGCTAGTTGCAGGAGCAAGGGATGTTGGTCTGTCCCCTTCTATCGTTGGATCTTTGTCGAGGAAGGAAGCTGCACTGGTTGAGGTGCATTTCCTCCTTTATCTTAATCTTACGGCATCTCAATCATCTCCTGTGTCTTTAGTGTCGTATCTTCTTCCCCTCCATGCATCTAATCTCTCTATTAAACTTCTTTACTTTTATTTTAAGTCAGATTATTTAAGCCAGTCAATTTAGATAATAGGGAATAAATGGGAAAAGGGAAAATATATTGCAAGTGATTATTATTATTATTACTATTGTTATTGTTTAGTTACTTTACTGAAGTTTGGAGTAGAGTAATATATTAGTGATCTCCTGTTTAATTGCTGTTGACTATATTGAACAGTTCATCTATTGTGATGGTTGAATGTGTTTGTTAAACCTAAACCTTCTTGTGTAGTCATTGATGATGCTATTCAATTATAGGATTGGTCTGTAATTGCTTACTAACTAGAATTTTTAAGAGGACTACGGCAGTTCATGTTATGCCTGGTCAAGTAAAATGCAGGATGGTACTGTCTAATGTCTATGAGTTGCTTCACAGTATTCCATATTATAATGTAATTATGAACAACTTATACTGTAATTCCAAACACATTTTATGAGTTGCTGTTATTAAGCAATTCTTCCTCTCTGTCCAATCGGGGACAAATGTTTCTCCAAAAGAAAGGATGAATGCTAAAATGAAAGAATAGTATTCTAGGTTTTTCATTTTTAATATGAAATAAGTGACTCAGAATACTTGCTTGTTAAATATCTCTTTTTCCTCTCTCTCTCTCTCCCTGCTCTCGCACTGCTTATGTGTGTATTATTACTGGCACCCTATCATTATAAGATGTAACCTTTGGAGAGCTATAACTTCAGGAGTTGCCAGTGATATTTATCGATATTTATCGGTTTCCAATGCATGAGTTTTCTTCCGCTTGTGCATTGTCTGGTATAATCAGTTTAATGGGTTGCCATAATTGTGGAAGATTGCTCTCTTTTGCTTGTGCTTATTAGTTTTTATGAATTGACCATTTTGTTTATCGTGAAACTTCTTTTTGCAGTTTTTCATGGATGACTGCTTACAAAGACTAATAGATAGAATTGACTCGGATGAGAGTTTAAAAAACTTGACACCAAGCGACTGCATCTCTAAGCTTATCAGAATTCGTCTGGAAATGCAAGCTCCATATATATCAACATGGCCTCAAGCTCTTAGCATCCAGGTCTCTGCCCGTGTCCTTTTTTGTAGTTAGAGGCTCAGATCTCTGAATTGTAGTGCTGAAAGAGTTTCTGGTGAATAATTTCTTTACAGGCACAACCAGTCAATGTTCCAAAGAGTTTTAAGCAGAGGGCAATGCTTGTGGATGAGATCTGGCATGCTGCTGGTGACAATGCCTCTGATATTGATTGGTATGCCAAGCGCACTATACTTGGAGGAATATACTCAACGACTGAGATTTATATGCTGACAGATAGCTCTCCTGGTTGGTTTTTCTTCCCTCCCTTTTTAAGGACACAAGCTTTCTTATATTTTTGCTTGAATAACTTTCATCCATTCTCGGGCGTTTCTATGCCTTTCTATTTATGGTAATCGCTAATTTGCGGGTCACCTCCGGGTTCTATGATTATAGCGTCCATTTATTCATTCTATTGATCATGTTTTTCTCTTTGTGAATGCTCTAAAAATATTAACTGGATTCAATTTTCCAGTCTCTCTAGAACTTCTTATTTTCTTGAATCAATACTGTCCTATTTGCTTTTTTGCATGACAATATATTTGAGGATCAACGTAATAAAGTGACTGTCAGGGGAAAAAAAAACAATACGATGGAATTTTATTCTTTTATGCCCCATCCCATGGACACTCCCGTATGTTGTGTCTATACATTTAATAAATTCCGTTTTGGGTAGAGACCGTGCTGTTTATGTCTCGATGTGGTACAGTCGTGACCAGTGATGACTTTTCTTGATACTTCTGTTGTTTGTTTTCTGGCAGATTTTCGTGATACATGGGCTTTCTTGGATGCTCGAGTGAAAGATGCTTTTGATCTAAAGAAAACCATTCAAGAGGTATACTCCTCAATTTATAACCGTGATTGGTTCCTTAAGTTTTTCAAATTTCAATTATTTCGAAATATCGTGCTTGTTTCATTCCACAATTCTCACTCATCCTTATAAATTTTCAGGCACAGTATTTAGCAGAAGCTGTTAGTGCCGGGCTGGGGAACTCCTTTCAAGGTTTTGTTGGGAAAGTTTTTCGGAGATGAATCGTGGTGGGAAGATGTGCTGATGGCATGCCTTTGTTGCTTGGTTATATCTTGTTTCAAACAATGTTTCTTCTAAACAATGATTGTCACTTGAAGGAGACGCTATATTAAGTAGTAATTATCTTTTCAGCTGACTTAAAATTTATTCTACGTCTTAGGACTTCACTCAGGCCTTCAGTTCCAGGCTCATGACTGCACAATAATTATAAGCTTGTAAATAATTCCATTATCAGTTATATTGTAATTTCCCGCTTTTTTAAGTGATGTTGTTTGACTTTATAAATGAATAAGAATGTGCAATAGCATTTGTTTGTATTCGTTACACATTTTTCTTCAGATATGGAACAACAATTTTTATTTTTTTTAATTAAATTTTCTAATAGCCTAAATTCGTATATATATATATATATATATATATATATATATATATATCTCAGTTAACAAGTACAACTATTATTCTTATTGTTTTTGTGTTAAAATTATAGTAGTTAATTGTGTCGCAATTGCGTTACAAGTCATTGCGGTGTCTCGTCGCAAGAAACAAGTCATTGCGGTATCTCGTCGCAAGAAATCGTGTCGGGCTGCATCGAAATGTAATAACGGCAATTGCGATTGTATTTGCAGCTAAATTCTGGTCATATTGTTGTCATATGGCAAAATGTCAATTTTGTCCTGAATTTAAATGTGTAATAGAAATTTTTTAAGGATTTTATAATCTATTTGCATCTCTATGTCACTTATACTGTCTCTACTTTTAAATTTATTTATTTTTTGTCATTATTTTTATCATATATTTATACCGCTATTTCAACAACCATAATCTACTATGATACTATAGCATTTTTTTGATTGGTCGCGACATGCCACAATCCGGCAATTGATAACTTTGGTTAAAACAAGTAAATAGATGATATTTTTCGGGCAATAATGCATCTTATACATGCAATGAACAAAAGAACTTTTGTCTAAAGTGTTAACGATTGGAAATGAATTAAAAAAAGAAGCAGAGGGGGTTGGTGTTGCAAGTTCACCCTCCAAAGCACGCACACACTTTTTTTTTAATTTGTGCGTGTCGGACACATGTCAGACATTTACACATTTTGATACGCGATTAACATTTTGAGACATGCGGTCAATGTTTCGACACGCTTTTTTAACATGCAATCAATTTTTCCGACAATCGATCAATTTTTTGACACGTTTTTTTTAGGTCTAGATTTTATTTATTTATTTTTTGGTATCCTATTTTATTTTATTAATTAAATATAAAAAAATAATTTATAAATCAATTTTTTCTGTTATGAAGTTTGACATGAAAAATTAAGAAGGTACGAAAAATTATTTTTGTTTATATTTATGTTATACAATTTGAATATTTGATTGTTTATATGACTTATTATGAGCTGTTATATGTATTAAATATAAATTATATTATATATATTAAAAATATTATTTAATATCAAAACGTATCTCTACGTGTAAAAATATGAGATTTTTTAAAATTAATGTGTTGGCTTGTCGTATCGTGTCCCGTGTCAATGTGGGCGCACTGTTTACCTAACAAGCACGGACACGTTCGTTGAAGAAAAATTTGAGTGTCGGACACGTGTCTGACACGGACACGCTCGGACAACATTTGGAGACACTCGGTTAACTCTCCGATACGTTTCGACACGTTTTTTCGACTCGCAGTCAACTTTTTTCGACACACGTTCAACGCTTGGACACATTTTTTTTTTAAATCTTAATTTTATTTTGTTAACTAAATATAAAAAAAATAATTTATGAATTAATTTTTTTCTGTTATGAAATTTGACATGAGAAATTAACAAAGTATGAAAAATTATTTATATTTATATTTATGTTATGAAATTTAAATATTTGATTGATTATATGATTTACTATGGACTCTTATATATATTAAATATAAATTATATTATATATATTAAAATTTTTATTTAATATCAAAACGTGTCCTAACATGTCAAAATATAATATTTTTTTTAGAATTAACGTGTTGACACGTCGTATCCCGTGTCCGTGCATCATAGTGTTCACCTACCGCTGCCCCTCATTCAAGGTCTTTTTGGTCAAGAGCATAGCATAGTAGTATTATTATTTACGAAGAAGCATATATAGAATATTATATATATAAGAGCAATCACAATTCAGGAAGAGGGAGAGGAAGAAGAAGCATGTCTTTGATGGCATCAGAGATCGCGGCCAAGTTGAATCTGCAGCCACACCCAGAAGGTGGGTTTTACGCAGAGACGTTCCGAGACCATTCCGTTCATCTTTCAAAGTCTCAGCTTCCTCCCGAATGTAAGTTCATTGTTTTTCCATATATCCTATAACCATTTGAAGATCCAAAAATCCCACTGAATCTTTTTTTCTCAAATTTGGCAACAGACAAAGTTGATCGCCCTGTATCCACCTCCATATATTTTCTTCTTCCGTCTGGGAACGTATCTCGTCTCCATCGCATACCCTGTGCTGAAACCTGGCATCATTATATTGGTGAACCTATCACCGTATGCACCTGCTCTTTAATCTATCACCTTTTTTTTGATTAACTTCTCAACAAAATTGAACGAGAAATAAATGTTGTTTTGTCATTAATTTTTGTAGATAGTGGAACTGAATGAGAAGGATGGAAGTGTCAAGTTTACATGCCTTGGATCAGATCTGAGTGATAATCAGATACCACAATACACAGTGGCTTCCAACGTCAACGTATGGTTTGGTTCATTTCCCACTAAGGATTTTAGCCTTGTGTCTTCAGATGGGGCATTGGTGAGAGCTGCAGCTAGAGATGGTGAGAGTCACCACTCTCTTGTGGGATGCACTTGTGCACCTGCTTTTCAGTTCCAGGACTTTGAGCTTGCAAAACGATCTCAACTCATTGCTCGCTTTCCCCAAATGGAGCCTCTTATCACTGTTCTCACATTTACCGAGTGAGTGACCACACCACCACTCTTGTTATTTATGACAAAAAATAAGATTGTAATGTTGGCAACCCCTGCTTGTTGAATGTTGAGCTGCTTACTTGAATGTAACCTTAATTGACATGTTTTCCCATCCCCTTTTTTCAGCGTTATGTAAAACTGAATCTGTAGTAATTCTTCATAATCAAATAAAGAATGGGAAATAGAAGTATGGATACCTTCCCTTTTCCTTTTAGATGATTTACACAAAGTCTTACCGGTAAGAATTTGTGTAAATTTGAAAAATTACTTTTTTTTTCTCTCTCTCCGATTATATCACTTACCTGTAATTTTTTTTTTTTTTTTTTTGAGATTTATACAAAATCTTACTGATCAGACTTTGTATAAATCACTAAAAGGACACGCCGCAGTGAACTCTGAATGAATATATAGACGCTTCCCACTATGGATTCAATTTCAAATGAATGGCCCTTTAGAGTTTTGAATTTTGATGGAACCAAGTATACAGGACAAAAAGATTTTTCCATGGGAAGCTTTAGGGAACCTCAGGCTATAAGCTTCTTGTCCGACTATTCCCTTGAAAAATACGACTAAACAAGAGTGAAACTTGAGAATCAATTATATGGAAACTATTCTCCGGACAAACAGATTCTCAAGTTTCCAAAGAGCTGAATCGCAAGCCTAACATGCGTTAGCACAAAATACACATGCAACAGAAAAGGGTATGTTAATTGTTCCCTGGCTCTCTATAGGGGTAAAAACTCAATTTCCTTTCCCAAAATAGTCTAGCTGTCGAGTATTCTGTTTCTTATTATCTTGCTAGTTTTCAGAGGGAGACAAATGCGCATCTATCTACTTATTCTTCCACTCACTTTCCAAATTGAGTCGCAACTGCATTAAAATATGAAGATGGGCACAGTTTGATAACTAAGGTGGCAATATGTTTTAATCGAAATCAAGGAACTGCATTCTATTCCTCATGATGCCCTTCACATCAGTTGCATCCCTTCTGCTTTTTGAGCCTGAACAGTGAAGCAAATGAAGCGGAATTAATAAAATGCACAAGATACAACCCAATTTCCCAACCAACCAAGCAGCCAAAAGCAAAAAATCTGAACCATGTTCCCAGCACAAACTGATAGTGTCAGAGTAGGAGTTCTCAAATATGTAAAGCAACTTATGTTTCTACTTGTATATATGATTTTATTACTTGTTAGCAAACCATCAAAATGTTTACAGTGGCACTAAGGTAGTGTTTGGTACGCGGATTATTTATGAATGCCCTGGAAAGTAAGCTAAGGAAAATAGGAAACCCACGTTTGGTTGCTCTAAACATCAATTTTTGTATTGTGTGCAAAGTGAAGTACGGTCTCCATTGTTCAAATTCCATGGTTTATTTGGAAATGTAGCTTGCCCGGGGAAGTAAGAAATAAACATCGATTAGTTGGACGAGATTAACCCTCTGCTTTATACGATTAGTGAGCAGGAACATCGCCAGCAACAACGCCATTAAAGCCATGCGATACATATGGTCAGCAATCGTTTCAGCACCTTTTATCCCATGATTAACCCATCCTTTCCTTTTTGTGGTCTACAAGGCACATATGTATGGCAAGAAGAGAGTATATTGTTATTCAATCAGTGTTGATTTGAGAGAGAGAAGACGGAGATGAATCGGATATATCACGAACCGGAGATTTTCGAAGGAGATGAACCCCAATAGCATCGACACCAGCTACAATGAAGAACGAATCTAAAAATAGATTTGAGAGAGAGAGACACAGTTGAGGGCAAATAGTTGAAACCAATCGAGGGTATCATTGTAAAATAATTTCATATTCCCACTAATATTTCACAATCAACCAAATACAAATTCAGTAAAATTAACCAAATATTTCCTGGGAAATGTGAGTCTACCAAATAGCTCTTTAATAACATTCCAGTAATATTCTATTTTACTACTATATTTCCGAAATATGTGATTTCTAGATAAAAAAAATTTCTTGTCTACCAAACGTTCCCTGAGTGAACAGATGATACCGGATCTTTCTTGATGTATACACACATCACACTCACAAAATCGGGCTTTACTCATTATCTCTTTAATTCTCACTCTAAAAGTAGGAAACTGCGAATTACTCTCCATTGAAGGAAAGCCTTCAACTCTAACTAAGTGCATCTCCAGAACTCACTTCCCCAATCCTCAGCTCCTAACCAAAACGGAAATGTGTGACAAGAGAGAAACTTGATAGTTAATTCTTTGGAAACTACCTGATTCCAATGAAATGTTCCAGTCTCGATAAACAGATTCTCAAGTTTCCAAAGAGCTCAATCACAAGTCTCACATGCATTAGCACAATATCCACATGCAACATAAGGGCATGTAATTGTCCCTGGCTCTCTAGAGAGGTAAAAACTAAATATCCTTTCTCGACCTCTACCCAAATATTCTAGCAGAGGGACAGGATAATTCTGCTTGGATCTCTAGAGAGGTAAAAAGTCAATTTCCTTTCTCGACCTCTAAGAGAAACCTAGCCCATTCGCATGTTAGACCCAAGAAACACCCTTAAAAAGTCCATACAAGGAAGCTAATAAAACAACCCCGTCTCATAAAAGGTATTAAGGAAGAAATTTATAGTTAAAAATTCTGGACTTATCGTTCCATCCAAATACACCAAATCCAGCCAAAAGAGCACAGCACCAAATTACTGTTAATCTGTCATTGTTCCCCAAGCAAGTTGAAGAAACTGGGCAATGAACCTGAGAAAGTGCAGCTAGTGGATTTGGAAGTTTTGGCAAACAGACTTTTATCATTTAAAGAGAGGAAACCAAACGGTGATAGCTTAGTTGATAGCAAGGGAGTTGAGTAAGTGGAAAGGAAGGACCTCGTTTCGATCCCACATCATGCCACTTTTGAGAGGGGTTTAAATATCTTCATTTTTGATCCACCCCGCACTTTGGATTAGTCCCATAACTGGCTCAAAGACTCAGAGTTTGTGGAAATCTGGAAGAAGTCAACTCGCCTCAAATAGGTAACTAGAATGAAAAAAAAAAAAAAGTGTGAAAAAAGAAAAAAAGTTTGCTAGTACAACCAGAAACTTGCAAATGGAAACCATCAGTTCACTGGACAATGTCCCACCAGAAACAAGAAAGAAGAAACAAGGCCAGAATAAACAGTAGTTTCGAAAAATAAAAAAATAATAATAAAAATGGTGTGGCCAAAACTACGATAATCACATTATTTTGATCAATTAGCTGTGTCCCACTACTCTCATCTCAGCAATGTTAAAAAAGCTTCCTACATGTCACTAGTAAGCTACACTATAAGATGTATCAAGACTTGAGAAATAAAGATAAAAAAAACATGTACACAAGAATTAATTGATCCATGGGACCTCAATATTAATGTGCTAAAATGAGAAATATAGATCAATTTTTTTTTTTTTTTTGTAACGTAGATCCAATTGTTTGATTATCAACAATTAGATGGACTTACCTTTCTTATCTCTGCCTCTAACACAAACCATATGCTGCGGAAGCTCCTTCACCTTTCAAAAGTTTTCGACTATCTCGTAATAGGACAAGAAGTTTTTTCTGCAAAAATTACATTTAAGGATAATATCTTGCTGTGTGTTGGCATATCTCATCATACAGAAGCGGGTGGAAGCCCACTACTTAAAAGCCCAGAGACAGTTATCTACTGCACTAAATTTGTACATTTGGAAAACACATAATTTGAGATTTTTTTATTTTTTTTTAAATCTGCATCTAAAACGGTCGTTTAGCCCCAATTTGACCCTTGGAGGAACGAGGAGTGGAAGTTTGGATATTTTATATTTAATATGTGGCCCAATCTCACCAAGCAAAAGACAGACGCTTGGAATGAAATCAGAAGACAAACAAATAAAATAAAATTAATATTTGTTACAAACCAACTGTTACTTAAATTTTAATTTATTTTAAATTTATTACCAAACATACCTCTCTGAAATTTATTTTTTTCAGTGCTACCGTCAGACGTGCATCGGTATTTCATTTATTTTAAGATATATAGACGAATTTAGGCAAATTTTTAAGATCTCAGAATCTATCTACATATTCTAGGATAAATGAACTACCAATGTACTGAACTTTAGTACGGTAACACTAAAAATTTGTGCCCCCTTCTTTTTTTTTTTTCCCGATGACTGACTTGGATTTCTATTTTAAAAACAAAAGAAAAAGGCATATAAGTGGTAGATTCTTTCATGTTAGTTATTATGGAGACAAGGAAAAACCAGTTGTAATAGGCAGAGACACAAGAGGCTCCGGAAACAAGCATGCAGAGTATTGTTTGCTGAAGGTGTCAGCTGGTAAATTTGTTGCACAGAGAATGTTAGTTTATTATGGGTCACATCAAATATTATTCAACTCAATCGGTTATCGACTTGGTTAAGACACCGAGTTAATAGATCATTGATCCAACCGGTGGGTAACTGATTGGATTGAATTTATTTATTAATATATAATAAATATAATAATAATTGTGCTATTATAAGAAAATTGCTTCGGTCTAATGGTTTATGTTACATTACATCCACCCATTCCAAAGGTGAACTTTTCTACACCAACAAAAAGTTAGTTATCAATGATGTTGTGCTGCCTTCCTTTTCCAGATTACATGATATTCTACAATTCTTGGCTGTGTGCTAAATTGAAATATGTAGCTTTAACTGAATAATGCTACCTATCATATGATGGTCTTAATTTATTTTTCCTTTTTCCTCCTTCTGTCAAACTCTCTTTTCTTTTCTTTTTTTCCTTATATGAGAAAATGCTTAAGAGATTACTTCCTTCCTCACATGTCACAAGTTCGGTGAGAACTTATAATAACACTAACAGTTACATATGATCAATTAACGAAGAATATAGCCACATTACCCATTGGTAGGACTCGTGCTAGAATATATTGTACAAAAGGTGGATATATTTAATGGTGTTGTTTTTCCTGCTTCCTTATTTTTTTTTTTAGCTAGTGGGCCCGCAAGCTTTTGTTAGTGCAGGAATAGATTTAGTTTTTCCTGTAATATAAGAATATTAATTCCCTATATTTAAAGAGAATTGTGCAACACATATTTTTACAAAAGAAGAGAGTTAGTGGGCCAAAGCTGCTTGTGAGAGTGGAAAATAAAATTTTATCCGTTAGCTTCTGTAGCATGTTTTTGAGCATATATCAATACTTGTACAAAATATCATTTCTCAGGTACCAACTAAAAGAATGAAAGAATAAGGAAAAATAGTGGATTTCAGATTAAATACGATTGAGCAAACATAAGCAAAGAGCACTGCAAAAGGAGGGAGTAAAGAGATATTTCAAAAGAAAAATGTTTCTTTGCTGGCAGATAATACTTCGTATAATTTTCTTTCTTCTTTTTAGGTATGTGTTCTATTGCAAGTTTAAACTTGCACGACTATCCTCAAAGAAAAAGTATACAACACCACACAAGCAAGACAAGTAACCCGTAATACAAAACAGATGACTTACTCATATACATTTCCAAAATAAAAACTATATAAACAGTAATTTCTATGCAGTAAAATACAACAATCATACAACATACTGAGATTTCAGCCTTCGTTTCCAGAACAGCATATTTCTGTACAACAAGTGAGGCAGCCGAAGCATCCTAGACCAATGCAAAGCTGAGTCAATGCAGTTGCACATTGGTTGTTTATCCGGCTACAGCACTGGATACAGCACATGCAACAGCAGTAACTGAACAAGGTTTCACAACAATTCGTGGCCGCCTTAAAGATTTCAGCCACTTCTGGCAAATTTGATTCAGATCCTGGAGGAGTATTTTCAGCAGTTGCAGTCAAATTGCCAAAGCCGATGCCTAAGTGTGGAAGTAAAATCATTCTCTGGCCTCGGACGTTTGCCTCGTTCTGAGGATGACTCTTTTTTGACGCCTGTTTACAATGAAAGAAAAAGAACTGATTAGTACTTTCACGTGATATTTTACCCATGTTTAATAACAACAAAAGCAAACCGCAATAAAAGATGGATTGTAAGCGTTCAATTAAAATAGACACGCCAACGAAGTTATTCTTAGATATTTCAATACTATATCACCCATATATCTAATGGCAGAAAAAAGATTTTCAAAAGAAAAATTGTAGTTAGGCACAGAATTTCAAAATGAAAGCATTGTTTAATATCTGGTTTATTTGCTAACAAAATCCTAAATTTCTGATACATACTTCTTTCGTTCCAGCTGATTCCTTGACCTTCTTTAGATCATCCTCAAGTATTATCATACGTGTATACTCAGACATGAAGCCAGTCAGCAGGCTCAATTTTGCAACCTGCCAATTAAAAAATATGGCATAAGAAAATTTATTTAATAAAAAAGAAACAACTGAATATCCCACATATACACTGAATGGAGTGATAGCATACAAAAGTATAAACAAACCTTCTGTTCTAATTGCTTATTTTCTGAAAGCCATGCTTGAGCAGTAAGATGCTCTATTTGATCTCTTGCAGAGACCTGTTAAAGAAAAAATATAGCAATATAATGAATAATAATAATAAAGGAAATGAAACAGAATGATAAAATTGGGGACATTTATTTATAAAGCAGCATCAAATTAAACATGCAAGGACCATGACTGCAAAGAATAAGAGGAAGCAAACATTTATTTGTGAATCACAGGCATGCCAAAGAAAGATAAGACCAATAAACCATGATTATTTGTGAACCCACATAAAAACAAAAAGATAGATGAAGAAAGGAATATCATTAATTTTTCTAGATCCAAATTCAATAGATCTTACAATAATGGTAAAACTTGGCCTAACTATTAACTTGTGCTTTATGAAAAAACAAATTTTCAAAATTCCAAGAGGTTAACACAAGCACCAAATAGCAGCTCCAGGAATAAAAAATTGGAACCTCCTCCAGAAATTGTAGAAATAATTTCAAAAACAAGAAAACTTGAAATCTAAGTATGTAGCAGAGTACTTTACCCTTTGTAAAGGCATGTCCTTAGCCTTTTGTATCTTCATATCTATTACAAAATTACTGAAATCAGCCAAGATACCTTTGACTTTAAGAGTTTCAGGAAAATTTCCCTTGTATCTGCCAGATAAAATCAACGGACCCTCTGATGAAAGATCTGGAATATGGGAAGGGTATACCTATTACAAACATTGCAGATAATGCCATTAGAAAGAGCCACAAGCTCAGGGAAAGTTGGGCAAAATTCAACATATAGTAGCATGTGTAATGGAAAATAAATTGTCATAATTGCCAGGACAGTGGGTTCCATCATGGCATCATATATCAGTCTTCATTCTCAAACGTCATTCTAAGGAAGACATAAACACCAAAAGCATGGCAAAATATGTAGGTGATAGCACAGATCACTATAAATCCCGAAGTTATTAGTGAATGCAGTCTTCAGAAGGAAGGAAGGACAAGAATTAAAATGAAATGGAGCACCATGGCACATATTATTTTGTCAAAAATGATAAATTAAGGATTTGTCATACTCATAAATTAAGCATACATTTGTGAGATGAGGCTATGGTAGATGAACCGCGGGAAAAGAATAAAAATCATGAAAGACAGTTTTTGAATGGTATATGTTACTATGTTAGCATATGTTTGGTAAAGACCATGGGAAAGAATGAAAAGGAGGTAGCCCCCAAGTCTTTTTTATTTTAAATTAATTCTAGCTAGATACTAGTAAAATTTTACCTCAAGTTCATCAAGATCATCCAATATGTCCATTTTGACATTTGCAAGAATGAGAGATGAAGCTTTGTCAAACAATGCCAACATCTGAGCCTCAACCAAATCTGACAATTCAAAAAAGAGGGGCAGCTGTCAAATTACTTGTAAAAGCAGAAAGAATAAAAAAATTCAGATAGGATAATTGAAGAAACTTTCAATGTTAACTACCACAAGTAAGAGTTTCTACATAAGGTGCCAAAATGCTAAATCACAACCCTATATACTAGCAAGCGGCCAACTGGCAACTTTACACTATTTCAATATTAATGCATTTTTTGCAATTGGGGAGACACACACACACACACCCCACCGGGGGGGATTGTCTTAAAAGAAGAGGGCTTTTGAATAAACATTGTGGATGTAAAATCAGTATAGTATCTCTCCTCCTAGATGAAAACTTGAATGTTCACGCTAGAGTCAATAAGCAGGTGCTCCAAATATAATGCATAGACAACGGAACCAAAATCAAGTAATTTAATTGCTCATTAGACACATATTTGTTGACATGGTTCGACAACCAAAATTTATCTAAAATCCAACAATGTCATTTAAATTATAACAAAAAGAACGATAAAGACAGTGCTATACATATTTTTTTTTTTAAATTTAAATTCAGAACTTACTTAAATCCAATGCAGCGTCATATTGGCCCCTACCAATCATAGCAAGCATCCGCAAGAAATAATGGTTGCAGAATGGACCTGTGGTTAAATGAGGTGTTACCCTTAACATAAATGATTGATAGAATGAACTATTTTAAGCATTACTTACAATGAATCAGAAGAACTAAGAACAAGATCTTAAACAAATTATGATAAAAAAGTATGTCATAATGTTAATTTATGGCAAGTGGCTAGTTCTGATCAAGTCTTAAAATACTAGAAGCCTCACCTAAGCCAAACGTGTAAATTCGGGGGCATATTGACTCTCCATTGATTATATGATTCTTTACCATAGCACAGATATGTCTCTCATCTTCAACAGTTCCATCAGTAACTAGGAAAATTATTGGAACTGAACTTTGAGCACTGGATAGCATCTCTAATGCCTGAAAAGAAAAGGCAACAAATCAATAAAATACATTCTACCCGATGACTGAGGGCAGAAAACAATCACAATGATCATCAACAATACATCAAAAGCTAGTTTGAGAACACATAAAGATAAATCAGAATTTGAGGAAAAGGTTCTCCATCCATCAAGTTGAGCATAGATTAATTTGTATGTTCAGTAAGTTACACTTGGGTTGAGTATTAACTACTGCTCAGTAATCTACATGTTTATGAAAAACTGTATAAAAATTTAATGTTACCGTGCTTAATGGATGTGAAATATTTGTACCACCCCCAGCAACGAAGTTCATGTTAATCCACTCAATGGCCCTTTCAACAGCATCCTTGGAAGCCGATTCCATCGATTTCGAAAACAGATAACTCTCTCCATTAAAGGCTATAATAGTAAATGAATCATCAGGATCGAGTTTAGAGAGAGCAGAAAATAGTGCATTCTTTGTGTCATTAATTAGCTTTCCACGCATGCTTCCACTGATGTCAACAACGAATATTATGTCCTTTTTGAATACCTAGACATTGAGTAGGACCAGAAGTGAGAATAAAAAGACAATTTAAAAATATATATATAACATGACATGTACACCTACAAAGTTTACAAATTTTGTACAAACCTTCTTACTCTGAATTTCTCCAGGAGAAAGGTATATGTAGAACATCTCTCTTTGATCAAAGTCATGCAAAGATGCAGATTCCAAAAGAACACCACCATTAATATGACTTGAGGAAACCTAAATGCATATAGTGTGCCAATAAGATAATCTTTTAATCGCTTAAAAGATGAATAACAAAAAATAAAATAAAATGGTCATAAGTCTTACAGCATATGAAAAGTCAAAATCAGTTTTTGACCATGACAGAACTTCGGAATCAGATAAGAAACCCATACTCCCAGCATGACGCTTCAGTTCCTGGACAGTCAGTCAGGATAAAATGGTTAATTGATTATATGATATGCAAAATTTCAACTGTAGGTGGTTCCACAAACAATCCAACCAAATATAAACCTTTAGGGGGTGGCTTATTGTCTTGCATAGAAGCTCACTTCCAGGAGCAACATTCACATTTATTTGTATCTTTTCTCTCTTTGATATTCTCTTCGCAACAGGGTTGACAAAATCAGGAAAGGTAAACGGCACATTCAAAGAGAACTGACCAGTGCGGTATACTAATTTCTGAGACCAATGAATTTTAATTGATAAATTGGAACCACCATCAATCTGTTAAAAAAAAAGATAAACAGCATCACAACACAATAAGATGACTGAACGTTACAGATGTAAAAATCAATAAATTGTAGACACAGACTACGTATTTACCTGTGGTATAGTTAGAGTAAATATATTGGGCAAGAGAAAACCTCCATTTTGAGCTAGGTTGCCATTTTCGTTATCATTATTGTCTTCCATAACAACCAGTTGAGTAGAATACGATTTTCCAGGAACACTGACCTCAACACCTAGAATTGAACCCTGTTAGCCAAATGATATCAGAACACAAAATCTGCAACATATTAAAAATATTATTCACGAGCCATCATTTCCCAAGTAAAGTAGAGCAAGACATCAATACCGAAATTACGATGATACAAAATCAGGGAAGAATCGAAAAGTCCAAACACACACACACACGAGAGAGAGAAAAAGAAGAAGAAGAAGCACCTGGTGACCCATAGGAATAGCAATACGGCAATCACAGGCGCGACTACCCATAACGCAGTGGAGTCTCCAAGAGCCAGAGACGGTGACAAAGGCAGTGTCCAAATAACAATCAACATCCATCTCAATCCCTTTCATCTGAAGCGGAATCAGCGCCGGAGGGTCGCACCTTCCATATACGTGCGGCTGGTAGCTCGGGATATCAGGGTTATCCACGATCTTTGGATCATAGATCACCGCGTAAACCATTGGCGCCGTAGGAAGAAGCGCATTCGCCGACGACCTCTCCATCGACGCCGGCGGTTTCGGCGGCGCCACAGCCCTGTCCTTCCCTAAGTATATGCGCTTCGACAGCTTCAGTCCGTCATCAACCGCTCTCTCAAAATCCTCAGCCATTACACACAGAAAGATCTCAAAAGCTTTGAAATGTGAAGAAAGAAGAAGAAAAAAGAAGACACAAGAGAGAGTTTAGAAGAAGAAAAAGGATATAATAAAAAGCAGCAAAGATGAAGGTCAAGGAAATGAAGTGTGTATGTAGTGTGGGGTCCTCTTAAAGTACCATATTCGGGTTTTCCGTTATAGCTGCGTCTGACCATTTATCTCTTGACACGTGTGTTTCTACCATGTCGGCAAGTGGAATGCATATTCGATATTATAAAGTTTGATTTAAGGGTACAGTGTTTGTCATTTTAAATGACATAAGTTATGTCATTTTAGGAGAGAGATAGACACAGAAAAACAAAAATCATGGAAGAGAAAAAGTAAGTGATTTTTTTTAATTTAAAATTCAAATTTTCTGTCTCTGTATCTCTCTTAAAATAACATAACTTTCTGTCATTTAAAATGACAAACAATTTTCCCTTCATTTAAAAGCCACTTTCCGAGTCTCAATTGGTTGATTGATATTTAATTGATCATTTGTAATTTACTAATTGATTTGTTATTATTGTACAGTTTAATCACGATATCCCCACTAGACTAGAGGGACGCGGATGGACTGTGGCATTTAATATGTGATACATTGACATTGGACGTCCCTATCACCATGTTGGACTAATCCATTAATAAATAATAATATTTACGCTGTCTTATCCCCAGACGTTACCGTTGGAGTAGCTCTTAATGAAATATGCCTTTCTGGCAGTCACTAATTTATGAGTATCCGATTTCCATTTTGTGTGTTTTTCATTGGCTTCATCTCAAATTGCAACTAGGAAGGCTACTTTGGCCTTTAGCATTGAAGGCTTCAACTTCAATCCTCTTTCTCGATCCCAAACCATACAAGAAATATGTAACGTCAAACCAACGAATACTTGTTTTCTTTTCCTTCATGTTTCTAAATTGACGGCATAGGAGAGAGATCCAAGTGTCTATTGCTTGGAGCATTTCAGAATTTGCATATAGGATCATGATATGACCGAAGAAAAGCCGAAATATATTATTGACAGACAAACGAGCATCACACTATTTAATTCGATTGCCACGTATTGTCGAACGCGTCAGTTGATGGATGAGAGCACATAAAAGAGTAGTCAACATAACTATTGCCCCAACAGGACTCCACTAATAATATTATCCCTGATTAAACTGTAGAAGATATATTACATTCGATATGAAATGTATCGGTATATGCTGTATAAGGCTTCAAACTAGTTAATGTATAATAAAATCTAAGACACAGAAAACAATTCTGTTCCACCCCCCACAATTTTTTAAAGAAAAAAGAAAAAAAGAAAAAGAAAAGAGCACCGGCTCTTCCTGTCCTATTGACTTGAACCTCAACTACCATAGCTGAACTAACATCCAGCAACAATCTTCAAATGCTCCTATTCTGCAGCTTTGTCTATCAACCTTTTTTTTTTTTGCTATGGGCCATGTGAAGAAGTAATTAATTTACATGTCAAATAAATTATACCACAAAAGACAAGTCAAAGAAATTAAGGCAACGTGATATAGCAAGTCTCCGCACCATACGACTTCAAATATCTCACCAAATCAGCTCAACAGTTCAAACTCAGGAGAAATTGTAACCCCATGAGTGTATCCTCAGCAAAACTATGGTTTCGAAAGTGAGTTACCCTTTCCAAGCCAATGAATGGCTGTAACCTTTTCAGGGCCAACCAAATACTCTTCGTACACCATTATGTGCAAACTAGATTTGAGCAAAGAGGATTTCATTCCACGTATCAGGAACACCGGGCAAACACCAATGTAAGCAATCCTGCACACCAGGCTTAGATGTAATGCTGAACCGTGATATATGACCCTCATCCCTAAGCTGAGAAAGAGCTGTTATGTCCAAGAGCTTGACCCCTGTTCCCTTTACTGCATTTGCAGCAGCTTGATCACTGGACTCTTCTTCCAATATTTCCTTTCCTACTGACATTGGTTTAGTGTTGTCACAACTGCCTCCCGTGTTCCAGTCCCCACCAACAAAATGCCTAGGAGAGATGGACCGAAAGAATACCTTCAAACCTGGATATTTTGGAAGCTGTGAATCCACCCAACTAACAACGCTGTGAATAGTAAGATTCTTAGCAACCCAAATCACTGCTCTCTTCCTATCAGTATTCGGCACACCACCGACATGCATTACCCATCGATTAGCATTGAGCTTTCCTCGATTCCAGTGGTGACCTGTGTTGAGAACCAGGACATTGAACTTGTGGAGAAATTGGCGCAAGAATGCCGGTGGCCGATCAAGGTGCATTGCATAGTCAGTGCCTGGGTTGTTTACATCAATAGGTTCAACATCACAGAGGCTTGCTGACCAGTAGTACAGAATAGTAGTATTAGTGCTTGAGAAACGAAAAGCCCACCCACTAGGGCGGGCAGAGCCCTCGGCCATAACCAATCCATACTCCTTCCCCACATCTTCTACATCAAGCTTCTCCTCACCACCAGTAATCATGCACATTAAAGACTGGAACTGCTGCCTTCCCAATGAGTCTCCAACAAAAGCTAGTGTTTTGTTTTGCATCCTGGAATGCACCGAGATTATTATCAATTGATCATTCATTTATTGGCTTTCTTTTCTGCTGAACCAAAAACTTAGGACAATAAATGATGCACTTACAGTTGGCCCATTGTACATGGCCCAACCATTGATTGAAGAAGCTCGTAGTCAAATAGAGTTGTGGCCTAATAAATATAGCCCAATTGTTGAAAAAGGCATTGATTTAAAATATAACAAATTACAATCAAATTCAAGTCTCAATAAAGCAGCAGATGTGATTGTGATTTGTTTGGGAAGAAAAGGAAAGCAACATATTTGGCGTGATTTGAGATTAAAGATTTGGGATGTATTTTGAATTATTTATTTGTAATTTTTTATTTATTTTTATATTTTAATTACTGTTATTTTATTTTAGGAAGTTTTATTACTTATAGAATTTTAGATTTAGAATTTTGAATCAATTTGTAATTAGTCTATAAAAGGATGCTTATGACCCTTATTCTAGGAGTTGAATTTTGTTATTTGAGAAATAGAAATTGAGAACCGGAGGGTTACTCTTTTGTAAAAATCCCAACTTTCTGTTTAGCCACTTTTCTATGCGCATTCGGCATCAATAAAAATAATGAAAATGAAGATGGGAAAAGTCAGGGAATTTTGTTCTCTAAATCAGAGGAAATCCACAAAAGCACAGGCGTCTCAAAAAGCATCAGTCATATGACCAGAACAAAAACAGACTAAATTAAGTAACACAGCTTGCATGCTAACAAATGCCTCAACCAAAGTTGACCTTCCCTCTTTCAAGTCAATTTAGGAGCATCCTATATATATATATATATATCTATATATATATATATATATATATATATATATATATATATATATATGAATCAAGAGAATGAAATACCTTCTCAAGAATTTAGAACCTTCAAATTCGTCCATTTGACAATCTTTTGGTTGCCATCGAAGCTTCTCATATTCAAAATCAGTACGTTGCATCAAGCGACACGCCCACATCCCTGAGAGCCAATGTTTGCAACCAAATCCTGAATACAAAGGCCGATTATTGTCTGGGACCCATTTTCCTTTTGCATAATTGCAGGCTGGACAAAGAGTCAACAAGAGAACAAATAGTTAGCAGTACTTAACGAAATATATTGTCCATTAGTCCAACAAATGTGCATGATATAACACTCCTGCAGAAGAATATGATTAGACTTTTTATGAAAGATGGAGCAAACACGTTCAATCATGTAAAAAGTTTTAGCCAGCTTGTCTAATATGAAAATTTCATTTTCCCAGGATTAGTTGATGGAAATATATTTTCTGTTTGTGAACTACACCTGCTCAAAATAGTGACTGAGTGCTACCTGGCTAATATGCCACCTCTCACAAATGAGGAAAGGAAACCGTAAACATCCTAACTTCAAGATAGTTATAAAAGGATTCAAGATTTCTATCGTTGCTGAGAAAAATTAGGAATTACCCTCAATAGGAAGCTCATTATCAGAAAATAAGTTGAAGAACATCTGTCAATTTTCATTCACCAATAATGTTCAAGCTTTCATTAGAAAAAATTGAAAAACAATAGGTTTTTTAGAAAAATTCAGAGATATTCTTTAAAAGGAAGCTCATTTTTATAAAACAGGTTGAAAAGCATACCAATTTCCCTCCAACTCATCCAAAAGAGAATAAAGTTTTCAATAGAGTTTTATAGATGACGAGCAAAAAGACCAGTACCTTTATTTTCTGTAGTATTATTCCAAATGTTGTCTTTTCCACCAATTAAAGAGAGTTTTTGTGGAGAGTTCGTGACAAAATCTTTTCTTTGTTCCTGTTTTGAAGTTTTCTCCCTCTCAGCTTCATTCCTTTTAGCCTCAGATGTTGTTGGGCGAGAAAAAGTTTGTACGTCATGGTTTTTCCCAGCTTCCAAGATTCTTTCATGTTTTGCTTCTTCATCTGACACACTTGAAAGAATTTCTACACCAATATAATGAAAGATAAGAATTAAGCGCCAAGAAGATAACATGAAATTAACAGAGAAAGAGGGAGACAGAGGAAACAGTAAGACTGTGTGGTAAGGGCTTTATTGTTAAAAGGATAGTGACCTCTAATATGTTGTATTTTGGAAGAAATTGTCTACAACTAACAACATTTTTAACTTAACCCTATCAACCTGGCAACGATGGTAGGAGCAGCATTCTGACCACTATAGCAAAGAACAGGATAAGTAAGTAAATAAATAAGGCACCATATATAGAGGTCAACACATTTTCATTCGATACAGGATATGGTACCACATCATGAGGCATTGTAAACCCCTCTAAACCATAGAGGATTAAAGAAAGCATTATCTTACGTTCTGTATATGAAGTAGTTCTGGTATTACTTTCACCCATGCTTTTTACAGAAGAGCTTTGTGCAGAAACCATCTGAGATGCTACATTGACATGTTCTTCTAGCTCATTGGTGGTCTTTTTCTTTGGCAATGATGAGCCATCTTTACCTACATGTACACGTGGATCAGATACTAGCATGTTGACTGAAGGACTACTAACTAAATGATCAGCAAAGACGAAAAACAACCCTCCCAAAAAAGTACTGAGAACAATGCAAGCATATTATTGTCCAGCATGAACATTCAAATCTCGGGTACAAATAGATAAGCCAATACTTGATGGCAATAATAACTATTCTAAGGACCTCCTCATTCCAAACAGATGAGACTATCCTTATCATGACACTATCCTTATCATGACACTAAAGATTCACGTCCAGCTTCATCAATCACGGAACAAAATGTGCTGATCTGAATCTTAGCTGAGAAGCAGAATACAAATATGACCATAAAGGAGAAAAAAATCAACGCTAGACAGGTTTTCAGTCTGTAAATATTAGTTTTAAGAAAATTTAACAACAATATACATACTTTTACCTTTATAAAAGAAATAGAAAATAAAATTTGTCATATTGACGGAATATCATATCAGTAATTCAATATTTTTCGAAGAAAACAATTATACAAATGGAAGTAAACCTGAAGACAGCTGCAGTGATGTTTGAGGAGGAACAAAGGTAGTAAGACCGGGTGTTTTATCCCATGACCATAAAATGATAGTTGCAGACATGAGAACAATGGAAATAAGAGAAATTTCTTTTCCCTTTAATCCATTAAAGCCTGCCTTCATCCTGCATAAACATAAAATTAATCTCAAAACTATGGTAACCGAGAATCTATAGAAATAAAAATAAGTATATACAATGTTCTAACCGTAAAAACTCACTAAGAGCCAACAGATCCACACACAAAGACTAGACAATGAAAGCGCATTCACGTTATAAAGACAAGCAAATCCTTACAAACTGACAACTGTTAATAACACACACACTCTAAAGCAGTAATAAACATTTTTTTTGTTGAAGTTTAACCTTAATCCTGTATTTTTATTAGTTTAATCCAATAAATAGTTTTCACTGCCCACCTCCCTGTGCAATCGAATTTGCTTCAGCTCCAACATATTGCACAATAAACCAATCCAAACTAACATTTCCAACGCAAAAATGGCTCTCTTTCTCTTCTAAAATTCACACTCTAAATTGTGAAAGTATGATACCTCACCGCGATCTATATCCTGGAGTTACTTCATATTTGTCAAAAACACAGATTTAAAAAACCAAGAAAAAAAAATTATGTCGAATTCGATAATTTGGTACATCAAAACCTGGACAAGTACCATTTGTAAGCAACTAAGATAAAGGCATTGAAACCCTCAAAAATAAAAATCAAAGTTCACGAGCTAGCTAACCATATATCACAAACACACATAAATTCACAACGGATCTGACAGGTTCATAGACATGCAGGCAAGAATTTTACCTGTTTCGGATGAAATAAAGTAAAAAAGAACTTCAATTCGAAACTTTGCTGAATCTCGAAGAAATCAGATGCCAAATGAGGAACAATGTCGGTGAGATTTAAGAGTTAGGAGAAGGAGAATTGTCAGTGAAGAGAGGAAAATACGAATCTCTGAATAAATCAATCGCAATATACAGAAAAGCGGGGATGGCGGCAACTCTTCGCGTCACGAACCATAAACCTGATTTATTTAGCATTTAGCAAGGGAAGAGTATTTAACCTGCTATTCCAAAATTATGTTTTTTATTTAGAAGAAGGGAAAAATGTTTATGACTTGTGTCATAAGAAAGATATAAATTAAAGCCTTTAGTATTGGTTTAGCGGTGATAAATTTGTTTAATTTGTATTAAGTTATGTGTTTAATTTTTGTTATTGTATAAGAAAATTAATATCTTTTATTTAATATTTAAATTTAAAAATATATTTTAAATATGTTAACTCTTGGATAATAAAATTTATTAAAATATTTTATTTAAGAAATTATATTATGTGACTCATTTCATTCCATTCGTGGACTCGTTGAACTTCGTAACTTTTCGGCGCCTTGTTGTTTAATCAATTATATATGGTTATTATAGTGTGATAATCAATATTTATTTGGTGATGATAGCCTTCTTTTTGACATAATCTTTTTCTAGCTTTCAATTTATTTTTATATGCCTTTCATTTTAGGTCAATTTATTTTTATAATCCGTTAGTAGTAATAGTTTATTTGTGTGGATGTTTTTAAATTTGAAATTCTTTATGTTTGTGGACATTATATCACAACAAACGCATTGTTATTATAATGAGTAATCTACTTTGGTGAGCTTTTTAAAACGAGTTCAAGTTGAAAGGTACCGTACGAAGGTCAGAATTTAAATTGTAATTTCATTAACAATTGGAGCAAGTAGACTACTTAGTACTTTGTGATTCTCATACGATCATCCTAATAAGTTTGTATAGTAATCAAATTCAGCATGTGATATGTACCAAAAATAAATTAAAGTTCAGCATGTGATGCGTGGTTAAATACTCTCAAGTCATTAATTGAGGCCATTTACCTAATTGTGAATCTAATCTAATGATTTATTACGGAAAAAATATTTAATCGCTCTTAATCTATTTTTTATTTTTATTTTCTTCCCTTGTTATTTTAGGCGGGTGAGTATATGTTGTCATATTGATATAAATAAACTAAGCAATTTATCATATGATTCATATGGATTTGCAGTCTGGTTTGTGCTAGGTATAACCTTAAGCCTTAAAATAAATCAATTTAAAAATTAAGCCGCGTGCCTATTTTTAAAAGACATGGTTTTTAAGTTTGTGGGCCAGTTTATAATTATTTAAAATTATATCATATAATCTCAAATAAAATAATTTATTATTATTTGATCTATATTAATAAAAAATATATTATTTTTTATTGGTAAGAAAAAATAATATTTTTAATCATAATGTGCTTTAATGAAATTTTTTTTTATGATAATAGTCTCTTTGTAATTATATAAGGGTAAAATTACGTAGTGCATACAAGGATTACCTTCACTTTACACTTGCTAGTTGAGTTTAATGAGAAAGTGTTTTTTTTTTTTTTTGTAAGCAAAGAGGGGCAAAAACCCCCCAAAGTTATTTTTTTTTAATGTGCTTTAATGAATTTTTTTTCTTTTGAGCATGAGAAGTCCGAAAGGTTTGATAGGCCAAGCAAATTAAAAAATTTCAAGACTTATTACAGTATACTGTTTACTCTTTAAAAATAGGTCAGATATGTAAATAACCTGCATTAGGCTAACAGATGAACACAAATTCAAAATATTCTCCGTAAACTTCAATTATTTAGGTTAAAACCTGACATAACCTAATTATATCCCTAATTAGCTCCTCTATTCCATTTTATGTTATTGTTAATCCCGTTAATTTCGGGTGGAAAAAATTAAATTGAAGTACAAACCTATAACCATAACATGTTATTATTTCATTTTTCTTGTAATATTGAGAAGTACTCTTGTTTCCCGTTATGGTGCCATCCCATTGATGAGTTTGTATGTCTAGAGATTCTACAAACTTTTTTTTTTTTTACTATTATAATAATAGTAAAAAAAAAAAAAAAATTGTAGAATCTCTGTACATGCAAAGCATGTACATGCAAAGCAGGGGCGAGGCTTGGCTCAAATTTTCCTTCTTCAGACACTCACGGAGTAGGTCTTGAACTAGTTCGGCTTTTTTACTATTATTGTTCAGTCACTAACATAGATCTCTAGTTCTGGAACTCACTAAGGAAAAAAAAAAAAAAAAAGACAGAAAATAATTACATACACACACAAGGGACAGTATATTCTCTTATAAATATCATAACATAAGATGCCTGATGCAAGTAAAGACTTACCCTTATTCAATTAAAGCTGTTCTACGGACTCTGCAATGGTTAAGTTTCATTCAATGTTGTAATTCAGACAGCCCATGTAACGGTGGTCCTGAAACTCCAAAGCTGAAGTCACAGAAATCATCACCTTCCCATAGGACCATCGAACTTCTGATTTTTATGTCAGTTGCCACATTCACCACCATTGCTTTCTTATTTACCCCGTTGACCAGCTTAAATAGCCTTGGAAATTAAGCAACAAGGTGCTTACATACCATGGATCTATGCACAAATCCAAGTCCTTCAGAATCAGAAGTCATCTTGCCTTACTGGTTTGAATCTTTTAATTTTCTGATTATCATCCTTCGCTATTCATATGCTATCAATTGATATTAATATTACCTAAAGGAAAGTGACCCGGATAGGACCCATCAGGAGCAAGAAAATCAGAAAGTTTGATGGACTGCATACCAATATATAATAACACACAAAATAGCCCTACTTTATTAAGGTTGGTTAAGAGAGGACATGATAATCTCATTAAGAAACGTGCTTACTTCCAAATTTCATAGACCACAAGATAATCTTCATCCTTGGAGAGTGCAATGCCGTTGTTAAAGCATGGATTATCTAGGACAATGGATGTCACATTTGAGATGGGATGTACTTGAGCACCTGCCCATGATACCAATAGTGAAGACCAAATTTGGTGCTAGAAACACTTAAAGAGTTAGACATCCGTTGAATGCTTCTATCACATCATCCGTAAATCTAGTTCAATCATTTGAAAGATTCAAAGCTAGTGGCTGCATACAAAATCGGAAGATTCAAGTAAACCTCAATAAGAATAATCTATATAGTATACATTACTAAAAAAACAGTTTATTGTTATCAAAAAAAAAAAAAAAAAAAAAAAACAGTTTATTTCTCCGTTAAACTGATTGCTAGGAGTCTAGGACCTTTGGCTTTGGATATGATAAGAGTGTTGTAATCATGGGGCCAACCACATCATGGACCAGAGGTCGCATTATGTTTTGCCTATTGGCTAGAGAATCACTGAGTCCAGATTTTGACTCTTCCTAAAATACCATGTTGAGAGAGACTAATGCAGGTTGCTCATGAATCACGACAGACATACTACTTCAATATTTTGTCTCCAGCCAGGTGCATAAGAAAACAAAGTCTTGAAATAAATATTTTATGCATGCATCTCAAAAGACACCACACCAGCCTTTGATGCATCATTTGTATTTGTAGTCACTGGTCCCAATGGGAAAAGATTCCCCAACAATTAAAGCCTTGATCTTGTTAGTGGATGCTAGTCCCAAATCTTCTGATTCAGTGAACAAGCTGCCGCACCTCCATATCAAGATACCCACTTGTGACTTGTGTCTATGTTAAAAAAAAATCACTCCCTAATTAAACTCGACTAGAGAGTGTGGGGTGTGAGCAATTCTTGTAAGCAGTTTTATCTTTGCAAATAATTACAAAGAGGCTGTTTCTCGGATTTTAACTCATGACTTTTCAATTACAAAGGAACAATTTTACCACTGTTCCGGTTCACCCTCCGATGACTTGTGTCTATGTTTCTCTAAAAAAAATGGCAAGACTTGCGCGTGACTAGTTTTCCGTGATTGCACTGTATCCCCTTGTCATTTTCTTACAATGGATGAGATAACCACACAAAGGCCACATCTACCACTTGCTTAAAGGCATTTTTAACGTCTTTTCACATTTAAGATTAACTACACTAAGTAACCCTGTTCTTCAGAAGAAACTAGAAACAGAAGAACTTAGCAAAACTGTCAAAACAAGAAAGCACTCATCTTATAAATTATTTGGTAAGAGTCAGGGGCTGTAACCTTAATTGTGAAACGAAAACGGGGGACACTATCTTCTGTAACCTTGAGCAAACCCTGCATATATATCAGAATTGTGATCTTTAATCTTGTAGCAGATTTCATCTTAAACTTAGAGCATTTTAGCTTTTGTTATTGGTAGTATCCTACAGATATGGCCATGCTCTTGTTACAATTCAATATCCTATACCAGAATGTTGCAAGTGTGAGCAAAGATTATTCACTTTTGACTTTGTGAGAGTTTTATGTTATCTTTTCAGAACCACAGAGTGAGACCACCTTCTCTTGCTGTAGTGCTTCCTTAAGAAGTTGGAGACAATATAACGCTTCACCTATAATTGGTGTTGGTCATCGCTCATACTTCGTGTGATAATAACGATGAGGGCCTTTGTTGTCGGGGTGAGCAGTAAGGCAACTGGGCTACCGCTCCCAGGTGAGCAGGCGGGACTCTGGGGGACCGCGCTCATAGGCCTGTAGAGGCTAGGTACTGTTGTGGGCATATGATTTATTGTAATTTTCCTAGTAGTTTGGGCTTGGGTCCATGAATAGGTGTTGTTAGGGTTTTCTAATCCTATTTATTTTTTTCTTGTAAACCAAGTGACTTGTAACTAGTGGCGGTAAGGTGAACATAGTACAAACAAACTGGACGTAGCTCACATTGATGAATCATCAGGATACATCACCGTGTCAATCTCTTTTCTTTTTTATGTGATTGTCGATTTCCAACAATTGGTTGATGTTGGTAGACGGAACTGTGAGAGCAAATGAAACTTCCAGAACCAAGCTTGAGCATGCTGTCACATAATTTTATCTTGCAGAGATTGGCAGATTAATTAACTTGAAATCTATGCTCATAGAGCAGGGTCCTTAATTTGCTAAATAGTGGAGTTCTGCCTTGAGGAAAGTTGATGTAAGATGTGTTCCTCATTCGTTAGCCTGCCCTCATTTTTTCTTGTCTGAGTCAACCGATCAAGAGTTCAACACGAGGAACGTACTTGATTTAGCAAAAATGCACGTAATGACACTAGAAGGCAAGTAATCTGAACTGTGTTACACTAATCAGTTGATGGCTAGCTTATATTTAAATTAATTAATTAATTAATTGAACAATGTGACACCTAAAAAAGCATGTGGAGATGCCAGTGTTGTAGTCGTGTGACAACTGCATTACCAAATGAAATAGACTAAATTATAGTTATAGCTTCCAAAGAAAAACTACTATTAGTTAAGTAAATATGTACTTTATACATTTGTGTCTACGTGATTGCACAACTGCATGAGTCTTAAAGAGACATAAAACAAATTACTACAATAAGCTGTTTTTCACATGTCAAAATAATTGACAATCAATGCCGCCTGGTTAGCAAATAACAATAAATACTAACAAGGATTGATAAATAGATTTTTTATTATTTTCTTTCTTCTTTCTTCCTGTGGGTGTACATAATATGTACCTACAAGACTCTTAAAAATAATGCTACATTGTAATTGTTGACAAAGTTAAAAGAATTTTGATCAATATTCCGAGTCAGACTGATTGGTAGTACACATCTAACTCACTCCATACAAATAGAAAAAAAAAAGGAAAAATGACAGATTTAATACAAGTTTTAAATTTTTTTATTTAATTAGTATATTGGGATTTATTTTTCAAAATAATGCAATCAATTGTATATTTTAAGAGGGTTTGATGTTTTTAGGAGATAATTTTACTTTCTATACACACATAAAAGTATGTAGGACCCATGTGAAGTGAAGAGAAGAGAAAAAAAATATGAGTCTCAATACGAAAGACATTATACTCATTTTAAGAAATATGCAACTATCACGTGGACCAAAATAGGATTAGTTGCACAAACCCCAATAGGCATCTACTTGTAGGAAATTTTTTTAATATTACAGGTCGATACACCATTTATTAAAATAGGTAAAAAAAAATTATTTCCACCCTTGTCTTTTTTTATATTACCTTTCATGTCCTAAAAACTTTTTTTATTTAGTCAGGATATAAATAGAACCGTTGTACAGAAAGTTTGCTCCTAGTTGTGCACCCGTTGAGGCTTTAAAACAATTCCATTTTATTGCATTATTTTTTTCTTATATCCCATTTTGTTATATTATTATTGATCAATCGCATAGGAGAGATATTTCCACACATCATTTTACTGTGATCAAATACATTAAATTAGGAAAAGTTCCACACGTGGTTATTTTAATATGATAAATTATATTAATTTAGGAAAATCCTTATGCGGATATTTTAATATGATGAATTACTTTAGTTTAGGAAATATCCTCTCACGCGGTTATTTTAATATAAGAATCATATTAATTTGGGAGAAATCCTCTTACGCGGTTCTTTCAACAGAATAAATCATATTAGGTTAGAAGAAATCCTCTCACACGTCATTATAACATGACACGTCATGGAAAGATTTTTGTCATTCAGAATGTTTAATGATAAATTAATATTTAGTAATTAAATAATTTTTTTATAGTGTAAAATCTCCTTTTGGATCCCTAACATTTCATTTTAGTTCCTTACAAAGAAATATTTGAAGTCCCTAAGAAATTCAAAATGGATCCATTTGGTTAAAATCGTGGTCCATCATAAATTAAAAAAAAAACTCACATTAGTCCGTAAAAAGACTAAAATGGATCCACTTTAAATTTTATAGAGACCACATGACTAATATTTTTTTTGTAAGGGATTAAAGTGAGCACCATAATTTTTATTAGGATCCAAAATAAGCTTTACTCCTTTATATATATATATATATATATATATATATATATATATATATATATATTACGGGTTCACTTGTATAATTTTTTAGAGATAAATTGTCATTAATAAGTGACTGAAATTTTATCATTAGGCATTGACGTTAAAATGAGACATTAAAGATAATAATTAGACATCAGTTAATAGTGTGGATGTTAATATGCTACCATATTAGTTTAGTGACATGTGACAAACAAAGTGGTCAGTGACTCATGTCTACCACATTTGAAGGACGCTAATCTCTTGTTTATTTATATTACTAACTTGTGGTCAGTGACACATTTTTCCAACGTTAGTTTATTTGCATAGGACAACATAAATGTCTGTTGACTTCCGGTCCCTCTTTATATTGTTTTCACTTAAACACACATTAGAGAGAGAGAGAGAGAGCGAGTGTGAGGGTGAGTTGGATGAAAGTGAAACAATGACAACTTCAGGGTCAGAGCCTCAGACTTCCACAGTGATTACTGTCAAAACCGTTTCTCAGGTGGAGGTTGAGTGTGTGAAATGCGACTCATGTGGTTTCACAGAGGAATGCACCCTTTCTTACATTTCACGGCTGCGTCAGAGATACCAAGGTAAGTGGCTGTGTGGGTTGTGCGTTGAGGCTGTCAAGGACGAGGTTGTGAGATCAGAGAAGCTTATCACCATTGAAGAAGCAATCGAACGCCATAGCAGTTTCTGCAGAGATTTCAGATCATCAACTCCTCTGAAGGAAACAGAACACCCCATCTTTGCTATGAGTCGGATTCTTCGGAAAAACTTGGACTCTCCGAAGCCTCTCCGATCAAACTCAAGTGGGGATCTTCCACCGGTTGATGGGGTTTCTGCTCCTCCATCTCTTCCTCGATCAGAGAGTTGTTTCTCATCTATCTCTGGTTAAGGTCAATTTAATTATTTTAGAGTCTTGCAGTTTCAGGTAAAGCGTGGAACATAGCAACTCTTGTGTCTCTCTCTCTCTCTCTCTGTGTGTTTTTTCTGTGAATGTAACAGATTATAAAAGTTTATGACAAAGGGTCTCTAACATTGGTATTTTTGTTTTCATTGATTGATGGATTTGTTCCAGATGATCTCACAGGGTTAAAAATTTTGTGAGGCCCAGCCTGGTACTGATGATGATGACTTCACTACTACATCTTCTTCTTCTTCTTTTAACCATGATCTTCAATGTATACAGAGCACATCTTGTTTACTGCTATGAAAATTCTAAAATTTAGTTCTTCTATTTTTTCTGTTTCAGCATTTAGAAGATGGAAAATAAAGAATATGCCAAAGAATAAAAAGTTCTTGAATACACCAGCGGATTTCTGTTGCTGCTTTCTTGCTCACAGTTTTGCTATCTGTTTTTAAAATAAATATTTTACTTTTCTCTTTTTGGTACGGGGTTTATTTTAAGGAAATCTGCTTTAAGGAAATAAAGTTAAAACTTTTCTAATTATTGAATCAGAACAAAAAGACAGCACAAACTTGCCATTATGATGTCTGGCTCAAGGCTCAAGCACACCTTAAAAGGAACTAATTTGCGACCATAGCTGTATGCGTATGAGGAATATGACAAATTCACAATCTCAAACCTTTTAGAAACTAATAATTCCAGGTGTGCTTAGCTGTTTGTGTTAATTTTTATCATGGGTTATGTATCAGAAATGACATTATTTAAAGATTTTTCTGAAAGAAGAAAAAGAAAGTTGAATAATCGAGGCATTTGCATTTTGTAAGATATTGACACAAGACGAAAGTGCAGAGAAAGTTCCCTTAAGTAAAAAGCCATCGATTTTGTTGGAAAAGTTTAGTGTTTCCAGGCTCGTTAATGTACCAGCCAAAAAGTTTAAAACTTTGTGGTGCTGGAGTGAAGCAGCAAGTAGCTCGTTTTCACTTTTTTTGTACTTTTCGATGGTTCTAACTGAAGGCCTTGTGGTGCAATGCTTTTCATGCCTGAGTGCAATGTTTGCATTACAAGACCATATAGGATACGAACTTTAAAACTTTTACCATGATCCGCTTGGAATGATTAGCCGTAACCGACCATGAGATTATTATCCGTATGCATCGAAACCGACGAAGAGAGAGAGTGGGGACACTAGTTTAGACCCCCAATCCATTCGGATTATTCTTAGTATTATATGTCCTTTTGTTTTTGTTTGCGTGTTTTTTGTTAGACTTGGACCTCATTCATTCGTAGACCCCAAAAACAAAAGAAAAATAAAATTATAGAGCTCTTTCACTCTTGCGTTATTCCAAACAGCAAAGTTTACCACATAGATTTTCGAAATTTGTGGTTATGTGTTTTTGTTGGAGTGTATTATCAAATTCATCTACACTTTTACTACATATAGTTCATTTAATAATTAGAGTGTCAATTACTCATAAAGTCACGTATTGTAGTGTCTTTAATATAATTTGTCAGCAAAGTTCGATACATTTTCGGCAGATCTTGGGAAATACATAAACAGCATGGTGATTATCATTTTAATTCGGCATAAACCTGGAAAGTACTTTTTGTAAGCTGACCAGAGCAAAAGAAAAAGAAAAGAGAATGTTAGAATCAAAGAAGCACTGAAATCAGTTTGCTATGGTGCTACATGGCATGCACCATATAGGCCTTTGCCAGATAATGGCACCGAGTTGCAAATAGTAACCTTCAAGTAAAACAGGATAAAAAATGCTCCTACGGAAAAAGAAAGCGATTTTTCCATGTGAAGATTATTTTTGAAGAACAAGAACGGTATGTTAAACATTTCCTCACTGCTATTGCCACCTTACAAATTAGCACCATTTCTCAATCATTAAACTAGTCAACTATTTTTTACTCAATGGAATCCATCATTTCATGGGTCACCGAAATAATTTCCATTATGCACTTTGTTTAAAAGGTAGTTTACCTAACCCCTCTTATAGTGCTCATGAAATCAATCTGCTTTATATTCCTTGTTCAAGTCTACCTCAATGGAAAATGGCCAATTTGATCCCTTTTTTTTAAGAGCTTTGCCGATTTCTTTCCTCATTTTTCAACGAGTAACTTGGCTACTAAACAGGGACTAAACGTGCGAACCATCATGGGTTTTCTTTTACGTGATTTCTATGACCCCACATTGACCACAAGGATCTATAAACGTAAAAAGAGTCATCATTACATCAAGGTGCAAAGCCCAAGAACTTCGTAACTCATCTAGATTGCTTACTTTGGGGCTGGTTTCTCTTATGATGGAGGTTAAAGCATTAAGCATGTGACTTGTTTAGGATGCAACATCAGCATATCACACGAGTTTCTCCCTCCACCAATTTCGAGCAATTTTAATCATTATATGAATCCTCCATATTATGATCAGGGTGCATGACACGAGACATAAGTAAGGAGCAAGAGTATGCTACTTCAGTACTGGTGATTCTCAGATACTATAGAATCTAAAGAGCTTGTTGAAGAGTTTGACTTCAGTACCTTAATTTTCAGCGCACTAGTAGTGCTAGAGAATCCCATCAACCCACCTTTTTGTTTTTTCAAGAGTTCTTTCTGTATCCAGTGATAAGAAACTTCAAAATAAGGTACCTTTCCAGTGTAGGCCATCATAATTTGTCTTTGAACAGCATATTAGGTCCAGATGAATGGAAAATTTTCAAAGAGAAACTAAGCTCTACGCACTTATACGAAAAAGGATTCTTCTAGATTTTTGCCGAACCTATATCTCATTAGTATGTCGGGTTTATTATATCGAATAGCAAGCAGCTGTCTAGTGCCCCCTCAAACAGCACAATGGCTATGCTAAAAATTGAAGCAACATTTCCAACATATTCAACAAGAACCTATTTGATAAGCATATTTAAATACAAACTTTATGATTGGGAAATAAGGTTTTTGCACCAAGTATCTCATACATCAAAGCTGCAACTAGAGGTGCCTTCGTGACAGCATGTCTTGTTAATACTATATTTTGAGCTAACATGTCATCCGGACTTTCTTTTGCTACAGGGCACTTTCTCTTGTCGTTGAAAATTGCATTTGAGGATACTCATTTACAAAGATGGTTTCCTAGAAGCCAATGGCAGTTCACTTCCATAATTGATGGAACTGCCAAGGACATCAATCATCTTCACATCCTGTCATAACATTCACAACATGCATAGATAAATGCAACACTGTAAATTCAACTAAGAGATACCATGTAGAGCGTCTCATGTATTGCTTCCAGGAATCACACTTCCTGCTTTACGACCACCAATTTCAGCTCCATTTGTTGTTGGTATGTCAACGTTCACTATACCACAATCACTACCCTGTGGCCTGCATAATATTCATATTCATGAGCACATGCAATATACTATTTATACAACAAGAAACATCATTTTCAGAGGGTTTTTGTTAGTATTTGAATGCCTAACCTTAACTCGCTAGTAGGGATATTAAGGATCATAGGAGTTGGACCACAAAAAAGAGACGGGGATGTCTATTAGCACTCGTCCAATCCATTTCAATATAGCTTCAGGTCTTCGTGTAAAAATTGAACTACTCAATCTTTGAGGTACTGAATTGTTGAGTTAAAATCATAAAAGTTCAATCAGAAGCTAAACTCCAAAAGAGATTAAGCTAATAAAAAAAAAAAAAATCCAACCTTATAAAATTAGGAACATTTAGGAAACTAAAGTTGGAACATATGTATTTTGAGAAATAAAGTAATAAAATGGATTAATTTTGTAAAAAAGACAAGGTTACACACCTTTTATATTTAACCTGAAGATAGTGATAAGATACATGCCTGAGATTTTATAATTGAAATGACCTTTTGAAAGTTTTCCTCTAAAACGCGGGTATGTTAGGCCCCACTAAAGACCCTTTCTCCAGTGGGTCACCAATTTTGACTTGTTTGTATACTACAATAAGTTGGTCAACTACATTTGCGTAAATATTCTCATGAAGAAACTGCAGTATAAGAAAGCTAATTAGATGAATTGTATACCTTCAATAAATTCACATATATATGAATTATGAGATTCAATTTTTAAATTGGTTCATTACCAGCCTACGACAGGATGTGCAACGTTGACCAGCAGTACCTACAACTGCAAACAAAATAGAGCGAGCAGCCAATCAGATATCTGCATCATCCATCACTATTATTGCATTGTTATCATTTAACTCGAGCAAGCATTTGCCAAATCTTTCATTAACTGTTTTCTGAACCTTTAATCTCACCTATATATATAGTAGGGAATGCATTATTATCAACTCAATAGAATAGAATGTGATATTCAAATCATACAAAACCGAGGAAACATTTACACAAAATATATATCTCTACATAGTGTTTTTCCGTTCTTTTTCTTGTCTTGTAAGGGGAGATGGGGAATAGAGCAACATATATGATTACATAATACATAAAACACAGAGGTAGTTGCACAAGAAGAGGTCAAGTTTTAGGGCATCGTATATCAAATATACTCATAATAGGGGGCTATAATAAATAAGGCTGGAACCACTATGCAAAAAATTTGAGACCCTTCATTTTACTTTGGGCAACTAAGCCGAGCATCATCCACGTAACATATGTAACTCTAAACATAAGAGTGGAAATTTATATATCCCATTCAACTAGTTTAATTATATAACCAGGTTATCATATTATGTACCAGGACCAAGTACACAAAGAAAGTACCGTTGAACTTTGATAAGAACCCAGGCAATAACAACAGAAAACAGAACTCAAGCGTATACCTTGTGAAAACAGAAGGTTGCATTATTGGTATTAGCCTCAGCAGTACAAGCAATGGATGTAAATCAGCAATACAGATAGAAAATTATTGTGAAAATTACAAGTGAAACTATAAAAGAAAATGATAGTGTAGAGGCTCTACTCACTCCCAAGTCCCATGGTCCAATTCAGATTTCTTATACCCTCACACACTTCAGGTTTTCATCTTACACTCAGCCTAACCTCCTAGAATATTCTATTATCCCTCCAAAAGTTAGTTATGTCACCTCATGAGTAGAACATAATACAATACTACCCATCTTACATACACCTCCACGAGTATATTCCTATCAAACTTCCAGTAAATGAAACCTGGGAATTAGTGTCAATTGCTATTGCCTGACCTATTTCAGAACCTCCACAGAAAGAGGAGAATACTGCACCAAATAATTTGCTCCTCTCAGGAACCTCAGCAACTAGCTTTGTCACAGTAATAGTTACCAATGGAGTTGTTGGAGCGCCCTTCCTACAATGCATGTAGTTAACAGATGAAGTCTTAAATTGAACGGATAACTGAATTT